ACTACTGATGTGAAATTCAATTATAAAGAAGAAGGAAAACTTAAAAGTGTTTGTTTTGCAGATTTTGTGGAATCTTGACAGTGCAAATCAATTGTGATAACAGGATTGTTCTTTGCTTAATCAATAGTGTCTGTAAACCACTTCAGTTTACAGCGTTCCGTAAACTGCGGTTGCTATAAAATGTCTTTCAACATTCTACCTTAGTGCCACACAAAGAACAATAACAATGGTAGATTCTATGCACTCATGAAAACAATTTGTTATTGTACATACCTCCAGAAGGTGTGTCCACTATTCTCTATTCTGATTGGACGAATCATGGTAGGAAATACCCATAAAGTGGGTCATTTTATTACGTCATATGACGTCACGAGCCTGAAGGTCACTTGAAAATTACACAACGAGCCCATTGTGGGGCTTTCCACTTTACGACAGTGATCGCTATCTGTTTGGCAAACAAACTCGAGAAAGTTCTAAGAACTGACGTCCTAATGTGTGCGCAGATGCGAAATACCCACATACACAAGCTCAAATGAGTATTAGGGAAACGTCAAATATGTGAACAGTATGAGCTCTGAAGCAAGTCGTTCTTGTAGTTGAGTGAAGTAAAAAAAAAAAAGGATCTTCATATATATATATATGAAGCTGCAAACTCCATCGGAAAGTTCTAGCTGTTTATCCACCTCTGGACTTTAGACTTGTTCCAGAACCTGAGTGTTGCATTCATATCCGTTTTACATATCTGACTTTTGTGTTTGCAGACTTTGGTTCTTTGCCTCTCAGGCAGATGCACTCGACTTCGAAGAAAATTCCCAAGAAGGAAATCCCAAGTTAGTCGACACTTACGACATGCTTGTTGGGGAGGCAGTGAATCTTTTCTAGTTTACCCCAGAATGTGGACCCGGAACGCACACTGGAATATATATATATATATATATATATATATATATATATATATATATATATATATATATATATATATATATACATATACACATATATAATATAATATTTGTAAACTTCTCGTGCCAGTACGGTTGTAGGTTAGTTATTAAGTCGATAGATTATTCTCATTGTAATCAAACGTTTTAGTTCGTCAGTGCTCGGATCCCTTCACCAGTTCTGTGTTGATTTCTTATTCTTCTTTGGCTTCCTGTATAGTTCTCTTGTCTGGCGACGTCCCTTTTAACATGCTGTTCTTGCATTATGGCCATGGCTGCAGATTCAGTCACCTTGTTCTGGCAAATGTCTTACTTCTCAAAGAGCATTTATTTGACCAGCTTGTTGCATGGCTCGTCCGCCCTTCACAGTAGTAAACATATCCAGCTGGCTAATTTCCTTGCCCGCCTGCCAGCCCGGGCACGACAATGAGGCTGATCGCGTCTGTCTCAGAGACAACAACCCCTGTCTTTGGATCTTTGTCTTCCTGAACATATTCACTGTGTAAAATCCGGTTGTTACACTAACACACTTTGCTCCAACTGTTGTTCTACCTCCTTCTCGTGTTATTATGTTAATCCATGCTGATCCTAACATTTATTATTCAAAGTGAACACTTTCTGGAACACGATGAGTTAAATTACATTTGCTAAGTTCTTAAAGAGATAGGCGTATTTGATACAAGCAAGTGGGAGATCTATTAAAGAAGCTAGAGTAAAAGGAGCCTTTTCCATGTCCCCAGGCGTAGTGGGCAATTAGTGCTACACCTTTATTCCTGGTCTTACAATGTTGTGTATTAGGGAGGGAATGAGAATGAAGGAAGGAATTATTGCGAAAAGGATTAGAGCTGAGCGTCTGAGAAGAAACAGTAAACACAAATGTTGACAACATGATTTGATTTGATTCAAGAACCGACATCACAGCACTCTAGGCATTCCCATAAGCGCTCCGTCCCCATCTTCAGCAGCCAGCAAAGAGTTCCGATACTAATGGTGCCAGTAGCATTCTGTTTAAACGTCCGTCTTGCTTTTCCTCTGAGCCTCGAGCATCTGCCAGAACCTATCGTCACTCCCAACTCTATCAATCTTACCACACTGTGGTGATCAATCTGCTCCTCCGAACTGTACAAGCTCTCCCACAAGGCACTAACCACGTCTGCCTCATCATGCATCAGTATTCCACCAAGCTGTGCAGAGCCAGCCAGTATGTCCGCCTGTTCATTTCCCAACACACCGGCATGCCCGGTGACAAAATGCAGACAGTACTCCTCACCTGTTAATACCGCAGTGAGGCATGCCACTCTGCACGAAGCATGCCTGTCTTAATCCTCCTCGGCATGCTTTCTGAGTCAGTTACAATCACGATGTGTGTGTGTGTGTGTCATGTTTTCTAGCCAGCGGAAAGCTGCAGTGACCACCTCCACCTCCATTCTTAAGCTGGATGTTGTGGTATCATATGTTAGGCTCTCCTGTACCAAACGTCAACCATTAACTTCTGCTTAGAAACCCCAAGCACTTCTTTTGCGTCTTGACACTGAACAGTCTGTGTAAATGATCAAATCTTCTGAGCGAGCATTATCTTGAATTAATTGCTGAATTTCCACCTCTGTGGCACCTGCTGGCCAGTCTCTGCATTCCCGGCTCAGTGTAACTATGACCCTACACAAGTCTGACTGTTCATGTGGCACTTTGACCCACTCCTCTCCTCGCCTTATGTTCTCAGGGATGCAAACCTGTCTGACTGTGTCTTCGGCCTGAGCCATCCATGAATTCCCTCTTATCAGCCGCTGACCCTTAACTGCACGCAGAGCTTCGTGCAAAGGGTGGTCTGTGTCTGCAGCTACCCTGAGAAATGACTTCACCTGCAGCACCTTGTGCCTACCTGCAACCGTCAGCAAACCAGGATGTATCGCATACACACCACTGGGGTGTCTATGGTGCAACCCAGAATGACCCGCATTGCTGTGTCTGTATGCGCTCTAGTTTGTCCATCTGACTCTTTGAGACGGTAAGCAGTCCCAGGCCATAATCAACCACTGACAGGATCAGGTGTTGACAACAGCTGTCCTGAAATCCTATGTGGTAACTGGGGAAGACTTTCCTTAAAGCAGTTGAGTCTTTCGAGTCACACTTGTCAATGCCATGGGTTGTGAGTTCTATGCCTCCTCATAGCGCAATATAACACTATCATCTGGAAAGATGGAAAGGGACCGATAACTGGAATGGGTCTTACACTAATAGCAGGCCACTTTTATGTAGAGGGCAAGGAGAGCAGTGAATCGGTCCTCATGGTGTTGGGACCTTGCTGCCAGGTGGGGAGCAAAGTCTCTAAATCGACCTCATCCTGACAAATGCTAGCACTGTCTAGTGCTTGGATGACCTGAACGTCTATGCACTGGGGTCAAGTCAGAACTTGAAGTCTTCCAAAGATCTTTTGGCCAACCAAACCACCAGCTCTCCTCCCCAAACCATTGTTGTCTTTGAACAAAAAAAATCATTCCCTATGCAGGCTCCCATTTGTTGAGATTAGAACCACTGCCCCCCCCCCCCCCCAACCCAGCATGTCGTACAAGGTGAGTAATTAGGAGTTTTTTTTCCTTAGAAGTTGGAGTGCATCTTCCTGAGCGGCAAGGAACAAACAGTCTGCAAAAAAATAAATCCAGATCTGTAAAACGGATGTGCATTCAAAACTTAAGTTTTTGAACAAGACCAAAGCCTAGAATTGGATGATCAACTAAAACTTTCTGACAGAGGTTACAGCCGGTGAGCATTAAGAAGAAGAACAAAAGAAATTACAAACACAATCCCCTTTTCTCTCAAATGTCTCATCAATTTTACAAACAAAAAGGCCCAACACTATGTATCAAATATTTAATGGACGGATCAATAGGTCATAGTACAAAAATATAAATTCAAAAGGTCATACGTATAAAAACTTTAAACATATAAATATTTGGGACTAAATATGCCTTTAGAGCAAAATTATAAAATATAATTTATTTTATGAATGATACCTTGGACGGAGAAATATTTTGTTGGAAACAAATACTGTAAGTCCAAATTATTAACAGTTGATTTTGTCAACACTATCTGTTTAACTGACCAGTCGAATTACTTTGCCTGTGAGTTACTCGGACCAGTGCATTACTTTAACGAACCTACAAGGGAAGCAAAGAACAGTAGCCGTGAACCTACCAAACATTCCACAAGAGGTGATCAAGAGGGCTTGTGTAAGACTGCCTGCCTTCTCTAGTAGAAAACCTTATCTACATAATCCAACTACCAAACATTCCACAAGAGGTGATCAAGAGGGCTTGTGTAAGACTGCCTGCCTTCTCTGGTAGAAAACCTTACCTACATAATCCAACTACCAAATATTCTACAAGAGGTGATCAAGAGGGCTTGTGTAAGACTGCCTGCCTTCTCTGGTAGAAAACCTTACAAACAAAATCCAGCTACCAAACAAGTCACACAAAAATGACAGAAAAATAACTCTATTCAGCAAGATGAAAGTAGCTCTTCCGTTAGATGTACAATAAAGTGGATAAAAATAGGGGTATGGGCCCACCAACTGACATTTTTTCCATGTTTAGCATTCCTTGACTGGGACCTACTATTTACTTCAAACAACTTGTGCCAAGTAGTCCTATCCTGTGCTACCACGTGCCCCTTACCCCATGATCTTCCTATTGCGTTTACCCTATTCTCTTCTTCAGATAATTTTTTTTGTCTACCTTTATTCCATTGACCTTGTGGGTTCAAGTGTAAAGAAAGGCTAGTTATATTGGTACCAGGTTTTTTCAGTGTATGTCATATTCAACGTTAAAATCTTTTCCTCACCTCTTGATTCTTGCTATTTGTCAGTTAATTATATTTTGCTGTCCACTGTCAAATAGCTTCATTAATATCTGTAAATGTTTTATTTCTTAATTTGAGTTGTCAAATTAAAGTTCTGTGTTTTATATCAACACATTTCCAATCACACAAAAACAAACATAAGAAAACACAGACAGTGTCACAGCGAACTCGACAAACACTTGATTCCAATTGCCAGGAAAAATGTCAACAGCGTTTTAGCAAGGAGGTCCTGGCCAACACTAGAAGTTTAAAGGCATCTTCGCTTCCTGGGGCCACACTTTTGTCCGGATGCAGCAAGACTGCAAGTCTTCTGTAAGCTTTGTTGACATCATCCCTGGTTTGGTAAAGAGAACATAAGTCAGTTCTGTGTAATAGTTAAAACATCCTATTTTTTTGTGTGTGATACGCTCTTACCTTCCCTTCCTTCGTTAAGCTTCTTAGCTGCAGATGAATTTATCATTTAGAGGTCTCTGTGGTAAAGTGGTCAAGTTGTTTGCCTGGCATTCTGACTGTTGTGGGTTCATTTCTCAGACATGCAGTTTTGACACACATCCTTGGAGCTGCACCCACTAGAAAAGAAGCCTTCAGTTACAAAAGAGTTCTGTAATGCTACCAAAGACTATAAGGATTCATCAACTGCCTTGCTGAATGACCTAGGCTACCAGTTTCCAAATCTTGCGACCTCTAGAGGTATGTATTAATTCATATCTGGCAGATTTCTAAGCCACTAAAAAAAAAGGCTATAGAGAATCTTGAACTACACATTTACGTCTTCGGATGAACGCTGAAGAAGAATCTTGCCTTGCTGTCTTCCTCTAACTCTCCTTTAATAAGTCTCTCTGGCTGTCACAGTATGATCCAGTTTTTTTTAAATAATGTGGCCAACAAATAATAACTGCCTTTTTCTGATTAGCCATTATAAAAAAATATACATACTAAATTAACGAGCTGCTAATCAATAAGACTTACTTGGATGCTCCAGGCATCAGACCAAGTCTTTCATAATCATTTCTGGCATTTTTCAGTCTCTGAATGGCTTCAATCTGTTCTTTGGAATAACCCAGCTGGGTAGTGATTGGCTCTCTTCTGCCACCATTATCACAGGTTTTGACAATGCCTTCAAATAAAACCTGGCAAGAAAGGGAAATAACTAGAATAAAGTATGACAGTTTAGGAATAACTGGACATTTTGTGATCTTTTAAAAGCAAATGGATCTAATAATCTCCTAGCACACAAGTCTAGTAATGAGGAAATTTGTAGATTGAATCCTTCAGAAGGCTTCCCATCAATTCTGGCCCAGAAAATGAGTACAATCAGGTCAAATAAAGACCTTTGAAGGTTATTGTTTTAAATACCTCACACCAAATGCACCAGTCTACAATTTATTTACTTACTTACTAAGAAAGAAATGGAAAGGGTGCTAAAACAACAAAATCTCTAAATATACTTTGGAAACAGGGTTCACAAACAACCCACACACCTTACAGCAACTAGATAGAAAACTGTTTGCTTTCTACTTTTATCTTGCAATTATCTTATTTTCAAGGCTTATTTTTACCTAAGGCTCTATGGATTAAAGGTTATTGAATACATTTAATAATGTCATGATCCGCACATTCTAGGGTTCCACTTTGGTAGCAGATGGTTTATTTAATTTAAAAATAATTTTAAAACGAACAAACCCACTCGTTGTTTTTGCACTGTGGTTCAAGATGCTGACAGTTTATTTAAAAGAAGAAACCTCTCGTGGTTTTTTACACAGTGGTTCAAGTGACAGATGGTTTATGTAAAAGAAAATGAGTCATTGTGTATGAGTCATAGCATGAAAGATATTGAAGCTCTGCCACGTAATATTAATCAAGACAATAGGGGGTAGCACTCTAGCCAACCTTCACTGTAGAGACGGCACATAATTTGTTTTTTTACATTTGTACCTGAAACATTTCGTTGACTCCCTCTCCAGTGAGTGCTGACATCTCAAAGAAATAGAATCCGTGAGCTTCAGCCCACAGCCGTCCTTCCGTTTCCTCAACTCGACGCCGTAAATCTGTCTGCAGATTTGACAATATCAGCAACAATCAATTATATAGCAGACAGTGGCTACGTCTGTAAGTATGAAACGCTGAACATCTCCCACAATAACAATTACATCATAAGACGTGAGGACCCATGATATAGCTATGTGAGGACCCATGATATGGCAGTCTTCATTATGGATCCACGGATCCCATTAGAAAATTAATTATAATTTCTTCTTCTTCTTACAATTTACTCAACATCAAAGTGTTGGGAGGATATGTAAGGTTGTGCTCTTTCCAATGTGTTGTATAAGTTAGTTTCCATTTCTTTAACACAGTTCCTGATGCCTTCATTCCATATTCTGCATAATCATCCGCTTGCTCTGTGTCCACTATACTACTTCAGCATGACTCTCTCTTGTCACTCGAGGCTACCTCTGGTGGGTATTTATTTCCAGTGGCCACACACATGTCAGACATTCTACAGGCGAGACAGAGATGTGATTTCTATGAGAGATATGTCAGTTAAGTGATTTTTGTGTGTTTGTTTATGTGGTACTGTAGATTTGTGTGATGGGATGAAGGTGCTCCAGTCACAACCTTCACTTGTTGACTGTGACATTGTGAAACTAACTAATTCTACTTTTCATGTTGATTGATATCTTCTTCTGTGGCACTTGGCACCAGGGCTTTCTTGTTAGATGGCCGAACCATCACATGTGTAGTGCTGCTCTTAAGAAAAATGTATCTGGTCTCAGTCCTGGACCTCTAAACTAAAATGAAACAACTGCAAAAACTAATCAGTCATGATCAAAATCTCAAGGGTGGTGTGAGTTGGTTAAGGGGTGGTGTGAGTTGGTTAAGGGCTGATGCCCCATCTAGAAATGAATGGCAGAGAAGTAGAAGAAGAAACCAAAGTAAAAATGATACCTTGTTGCCACAGACACAAACAACAATGCTGTCGACTTCAGACTTGTTAGCGATTTCACTGGACATTTCCTGGACCCAGTAATCTAGAGCCTCGAAGCTTCCTCTGTCGCTGACATCGTAGACTAGGATGGCACCTTGTGTGTTTTTATAAAATTCATTCCGCACCTAGAGGAAATATACAAACATGTCTTGTCTCATTTATCACAAGTTTGATTACAACTACTCAGAACTAAATAAATTCTAGTAAATCAAGAGGTGAGGAAAAGAAGTGGGTGTTGGAAAGGACAAGTGCTGATAAAGTAAGAAGGAGAAAACTAAAGTACACTGTAACAGAGGAAAAGTTGGAGGGGAAAAGAGGCAGAGGAAGACCGAAAGAGAAGATGCTGGACAGTCTGACATCATGGCATGGGATTTATATATATATATATATATATATACATATATATACATATATATATATATATACACACACACATATATATATGTATATATATATATAAGAAATAACTAAACATATACAAGATAGAAGGTTATGAATAGACATGACAACCAATGTTACATGGCATGGATTAAAAGAAGGGACAAGAGCAAACAATTCAAAAGCACTAAGGAATTCTATATCCAAAGCAGAAGAGGAAGACTGTAATACTTCTCCCTGCTACAGTATATGTTAACTTACCTCATAAAACAAATGATGGCCGGCCATGTCGAATATGTTGACCTTCACATCCCTGGCCTTCAAAGTCACTCTAAAAGAAAATTAGAAAGCAAACTGAGTAACCATGTAATCACTGTCCAACTTCAGAAAATGGGTCACCCCCATAGTAGCTCCGTTTATGTACCAACAAAACGCAAGCAAAATTTCCACCACTTCCCTTTGTGAAACAAATTCACACAGACTTCAGTCTTATCAAATCTGACAACAAAGTAGTTAAAGAATTTAACAAATGCGTACTAAAGTCAGCAGGGGAATCAATAGCAAGAGGTGCCTGTAAGCATTATAAGCCATACTGGAATAGTGAACTAGAAAATTTGCATAACAAAGTGGAAACATTTAGAAAGAAAGCAGAGACCAGGCCAAACCAAAAACGTCACAATAATTACCAGCACGCAAAACAAAATTTGTAAGGGCAAAGCTGCAGGTTAGAAGGGAAAGCTGGCAGGAGAAAACAAGGTCGCTGAACTTTGAAAAAGACACAAGAAAGTTATGGAAGCTTGTGAAACAAATTAATGATGAGGACACAGGATGGAACTCAAAGATTACGCTGCAGAAAAATGGAAACATGGTCACAGGAAAAGAGGCAGCCAACCTATTTGCGGACACTTTTGCTTTAGATAACGACATTGAAATCAGTTCAGAGAAAAAACATGAAATTCAAGAAAAGACACAATTTAGAAGTCAGAAAGAAAAAACATCACAGGCGCTAGAGGTGCCAATTACACTTAATGAACTGGAGTTGGCCATTTCAAAGCTGAAAATGCAGAAGTCACCAGGAACAGATGGTATATCAAACGAAATGATCAGAAACTTAGGAAAAGTAGCCAAAACAAAGCTTTTACAGATATTTAATGCTTGCTGGGCAACAGGGAATGTTCCACAGATCTGGAGAGAGGCAATTATGATACCCTGCATAAAGCCTGGGAAAGACAGTTCTAATGCCTCCAACTACAGACCGATCAGCCTCACAAGTTGTCTCTGTAAAACAATGGAGCGCATCACCAACCTCAGACTACAGTGGTACATTGACAACATACATGTACATTAAATGTATAAGGAAACAGTCAAAAGTGCCAATACAAAGAGCCCGATACTAGAAATGGAAGCAACAGTCACAACAGATCAGTAGTTGCACATGCAAACAATTGCATAAGGCATCACTAGTTTTCTGGCAATAGGTCATTCGTCATTTTCTGTTCACAACACAAAGCATGTTGGACAAAGTCAAAAAGCAATCCAACTGAAATCTTTAGCTCACAGTGTTGCGCCATGCACTCGAGCAGTAGCTGGATGATAGAAGTATATCCTTTCGGTCAACATGTGGAGGAAAATTCAACAGCTGACTATTGTTAGAAACAGTAACTTGTCACAACTAAAAACAATATATCTGCTCATCTGTCATATTGATCAAAAGCCGAGAAAGCATATAAAATACACTAAGAAGGAAATATTATCTAAAAGATTCTTTTTCTCCATTATTCTTATCAAGTGTTGATCTAAACCGAAAAAATGCATAGGTCATCAAAGATTATATATGTTTTTACTTTGATAGCTGCTCAAAATATGTGTTTTTCCTGATCTTCAAAATGAGAACAAAATAAACAGAATGTGTGTGCGCACAGACACACACACACATATATAAACATTACCATATGTATGTAAATTAAAACGTAAGCTCAACTCACTTGTTGACTCCATAGTCAATGCCAATTGTGGCCAGGTACTTGTTGACAAATCGTTTCTCACAATAGCGTTTTATGATACAACTCTGTGTAATATAAATATGTTGTTACATTAAAAAAAAAATGTTACATTAAATAATGGATGAACATAAGGGATAATAAAACATAATAGTAAACAGGAAATATACAAGTTTATATACTTTCATCTTACAAATAGTAAAAAAAAAAATAATAATCTGCCAACATTTTCAAAATATTTGATCTAGCATGAACATATACAACATCAGACACAATAAGAGACAGCCACAGCAAATTTCAAACACCAACTGAGAACAAATAATAATTGATATCTGAAAGTCAATGTTAACCAGCACATTTGTTTCCAAGAATAAATGTATATAATCAACCTGCTACTGGCAACATTGAAACTGGAACTTTTCATTGGCAGCTGAAGATGAGGATGGAGAATTATGGGAATGTCACGAGTGCTACAATGTCAATTCTTAGTTCAACATTCAACACTCAGTCTTCTTCTTCTTCTTCTCTTCCACCTTGTACCTCATTGAAGTGTTGGGAGCAGATGTAATGTTCGTTAATGGGCTCTGTCAAGAGCACTTTTAAGACTGAAGTTCATTTCTGTAAGGCTGTTCTTAATGCCATCACTCCATATTTTCCAAGGTCTTCCACTCGCTCTATACCCGTTGTAACGTTGTAGTGTGGCTCGCTGTGGCAGATAGTACCTGGCCATTCTTGTTAGGTGTCCAAACCACTTCATTTGTTGTTCTTTGATGACCTGTAAGACAGGCGACACTCAATAAATGTGTGAGAAAGAAGACTGATGGAGTGACGCTTTATACTCCAGCACAAACTGAACAAATGAACATGATATAAGATAAACATTAATTTATGTTTAACCTGAGACTAGTGAATCTGTGAAGCTCAAGAAGTGGTGCTGCACAACCTGCTAGCTCAAGCAGTTGTTGAAGGTAATGAGACTTTTGCAGTAGTCACTGTGAAGACGGTGCTATTAGTTAGTTAGTTAGTTAGTTGGGTTATCGTCATTGCACTCCGGACATGTCCATAGGTGCTCAGATCCTCCCCTCAGTATGAACCCCAACGTCCGATGGCTAATAGTACCAGTTCTATGTTGATTAACAAGTCTTCTGACGTGTCCGGTGTGCGTCTCGTTTTTTGCTGTGCCGATCTTAATTCCCAAGTCTGCCATTCTGGCGAGTGATGTGGATTCACTGCCACCAAAGTCCTCTATCCTTCCCATTTCTCTGAGGGCATTGATAATATCAGCGTGATCCATAGGCCGACCGTCGGTAGTGATAGCGGATCCAGCCAACCTGTCAGCTCTTTCATTTCCATCGACGCCTGCGTGTCCCGGAACAAAAATAAAGGTGACTCCACGCACAGTGGACTTCTGTAATGATTCAAGCCATTGTCTTCGCACTGAACCTGCCTGAACCCTCCGGATCATACTCATTGAATCACTGAGTATACATATGCGGGTGTATTTTTGTGTTTCAAGCCAGGCAAACGCTTGCGTCACTGCCATCACCTCCATCGTCATGCTGCTGGTTGTCATGGAGAAGGCACCGTTGGCTTCTTTGACTGTTCTGCTCGCTGAGCGTGCTGTAAATGCCCATGCGCAGACGGTGCTAGGCTACTGGACAAGGAGGACAGACTCTACACAGATATTTGTGGTTTGGTCCCATATGGCGTAAATAAGGGAGTGACTGCAGTCAGGCTGAGGACAAGAAGTGCTAAATACAACATAAAATGTGACTAGAAAGTTCAACAGAGGAAATGGAAAAGATGTGCACAAACACAACCAACATTTTGATCAGTCTTTATCAATAAAATACCAAAAACTCAACAGACAAACCTTTCATGTCCATGTTTCCCACCCCCTTTATGTATTTATGGTTTCATGTTGATCTTGGTTATTCAGAAGCTCTGCTGTCTTGGCCGTTGAGTTTTATAGTTACAGTTAGTGCTTTTTTTAGTACTCTGTTGATAAAGACTTTGGTCACAATGTTGTATTTGTGCACGTCTTTTCCATTTCTCTTTTGAGCTTTCTAGCCACATTCTATGCCCATTTAGCACTTTTTATCCCATATGGATTGGGCTCTCTGCAGAAAGGCAAGCCACTTTGACCTTCAGAGCGCCAGACAAATGGCTTAACTAGTTCACCACGGAGACCACAGTGTCTTCACCAGACTTATCCCAACAGTTACAAGCTCTGGTTGTGCTCACCTAGCCCAAACAAAAATACATGATGAGTTGGAACTTCAGTCTTCCAGAGGTCTGCTAACCAACTACCTACTTAGCCAGCCAACGAGGAGTTAAAGTTTAAACAAATGTGCAGTGTAAATTGTTCATAATTATTTCCAAAACAGAAAATCTTACCTTTCCAACTTCTGCATTTCCCATGCTGATAATTTTCACCCTCAGAGCAGGCTTCGGTTTCATTTTTGGTATTGAATAAGACATGTTTGAGCACCTAAAGTTGTTTTCATGCACAAGAAACTTCAATACATCACAGACAAATGTATCTTTCAGTCAGAAGAATCTGAAACTCTCAGGTCAAGGTTACTGTATTTTTCCTGTTTGAAAACCTATAGAAATTTTTCAGACAAAAAAAAACTTGAATACATTCTAAACAAATGTTTCTAACTTATAAGAGTCAGTTAATTTCAACCCAAGACAACTGTAATATTTCCAGGGCTTTTTTCTGATGGCACCTTTGATTAACTCTTTGAGTCCCAAGAAACGCATCATACATTCATAGGTCCCTACCTAGAAGTCCAATAAATGCAAGACGTATCAATTTTACGCCTCTCTTGACTATCCCTTGGGCCTCTGATGCTTTACCCACTGGGACTCAAAGAGTTAAAAAGCATTTCTTTTGTCAGCACTACTGTAACAGAAACTTTGTGATGAGCACCGCCACCTTTTATTAGACACTTTATGGTGAGTACTTGCACCTTTTTTCCTAGAAAAAAGCCCTGAATATATTTCTATATTTAAATCTATATTTTTCCTATTAAAATAATTAATATGCTAGAGGTAAAAAATGTCAGCGTCTGTGGCTAATGCGTTGTGCATGCGGTTCGTAATGCCAGGGTGCCAGGTTCGATCCCAGCTGCAGGCCTTGCACCTTGCGTTGGTTTCGACAGTGGTATCGTGAAGCCGACCGTCCAGAAAGCAATGACAAACTACTGAACGTAAATGTGCCAAGAAAAATCACAACAGCCAATGCTGGGGTTGTTTTGCAACGTCCTGTAAAGGATACGCAACTAACATTGGTAAAAATATACAGGTGAGAATTCTTGGGCGTTTTATTTCGGTTAATTCTGGTAGTAGTAATTGAGGATGTACACAGCAAAGTGGTCAAACATTTTGCCTCACACTCAGAAGGTCAGGGCTTCGTCTCAAGGCTGGTATCATTCAGTTCATGGGTTAAATTTTGTTTAACAGAGATACCTGGGGATTGTCACTGGAGCTGTGGAGTTCATGCTTTATGCTCTTGGCCGGTGACTGGTTATTCTGTGGAGAGAGGCTGTGCCACATGGGATAAAACCTGGAGCAATGAAGTTGATCCTGTTGACTTGGACCCTTAATTACAAATGATCACTTGCCTGTTTGATACCAGAGTCTCTAACCATGTCACCGTGAACATCCACAAAACTACACATCTGGCTGGGTTCAATCACCTGTCAATTTTACTTTACTGTCCTTCTATTGTCATCTGTCGAGGAAAAGCCTAGTTACTGCCATTGCCTGTGATTAAACTTGTGCAGTATTCTGGAGTACATGAACGAGTCAGAGATAGTTTTCTTGTGAACAATTTTATAAAGCTATTTTACTTAATAATGTTTCTGTAACCTCAGAGTGAGATGTCATGGGGTTACATAATAAGTCACCTAATACATTTGTGTGTGTGTATGACCCTAGGGAATGTATTCCAACTAATGCTTAACATTGTGTTTATTGACGACTCCGTTAACATATTTTGGGGAACATTTTTAAAAATGTACTTATATTTCTCAAAAACTTATTGCTGACTTACGTCAAATGGTTATTTTTGAAAATTATTTTGGGGAGAGGGATTCCAGCGGAACCACGACTGTTTAAAAAAAAAAGAGTTTGAGGAGCAAGAGGGTTCAATAAGACAAAAGAAAGTTACACTGTAACATACCATACATGTCATAAGAGGCGACTTCAGAAATGAGGGTTGACTTCCATCACTGCCACATTTTAATTGTAGGTGCACAAACCCACAATTAGGTAGCTATAGACACATTTAAAGATAATTAAGTTAGAAAGAGGTAGGCAACGGTACAAGTGGGAGGACAACGTCAAGAGATGGACGGACAGCAGTCTGAGTGAGTGTACAACCAGGACAAGAGACAGAACTTGTTGATGATGGAGATGCATTGCAGCCAACCTTCAATGTGAAGACGACACCTGGTTGATTGAATGAAGCTAGAATACTCACAATGGACTGAATCATTAAAAAAGCCAATCCCTATGTAGTATAACAGTTTAGCTGTTATGCAGCAACTAAAATTATATTTATTCTATAGGTGGCCTACAAATGTCAAAGGTTCCCCACAGTTTCAAGTCGGCCATCTTATAAACAAAACTGTCCTGACGCAAATATTAATCTTCGTCTTCATTGGTGGAAATACCATCTCTTGGATACTGAGAATGATTTTATTTATGACCCAAAGTTTACGGTCCAATAATGCAGATCAAATAAAATGTTTGCTTCTTGCCTTATACAAAATAAGATAACTTGCGCAAATATGAATTAGTTTTTAAAACAGGTATGCAAACGAAAGAAGAAAAAGAAGAAAACATGTATATTTTAAGAAATGGCAGTTTAAAACGGATAAGTATATTAAACAATAAGTCAACACCCAATAGATCTTCTTTTTGTTGTTCCGTGCAGTAAGCATTTGCTCTTTACTGTAGTCCATGACATATGCGTTAGGAAGTTTTGGTCTTCAGAGTTGTCCGCAGTTTTCTGTCTCGCATGCTATCTCTTCCGAGTGTCTGTTCCAGGTTCCCAGCTCGGGCGAGGGGGGGGGGGGGGGGGGACATTTTAACAAATGTGACAAGGCGACGAATTAAGGATTTGCTAAAATCCAGTGTGTTAGGTGGGTGTGTTAGGTAGGTGTGTTGGGTGGGTATGTTAGGTAGGTGTGTTAGGTAGCTCCTGTCGGCTTCTAGCTGTAAACCACAGAACAACTTGCCAAACTTCCATTAAAAACGAAAACAGAAGATAACACTATCAATCATTTCCTGTAGAACTATTCCTACATACCATGATGCTACACTAATATCTCTCTGGATCTTTCTTTGTTTCTCTTCCAATCTAGTGTACAAACTTCCACCCACAATAGTTATAGGAACAATCATCATCATCACTATGTCATACAGGGCTCGCAGTCTTTTGTTCCATGCCTCTCTGGCCTGCGAAATACTTCGACATTATGGATAGAATTCAGTCCACCACCTTTGGCCTCTCTTATCAGCTTTCGTTTTAGTTTGGTGTGTGTGGATGTCCTAGCTTCCCAATCCTTTTATTTCCTATTACAGCGCTTGCTTGGTGATGCTCTGCTGATTTCTCTCAGGATGTGTCCAGTGTAGCACCATCTCCTCTGTCTCAGAACTGTTGATACTAATTGCTGCCCAGACATTTCTCCAACCCTCTTGAATTCATCGCATTTTATTTTCATCATTTGTTTTCAATGGTAAAGCATTAAAACAAAAACGGTTTGCGTCAGAAGACAAAGAAAAACTATATGTAACGACTGAGATAAAATAACAAGTACATAGAAAACAGAACGAACTAAAATGGCATGGCTGACAAAATGGGTTAAACTGGCAGGGAAAGAAAGGGTTAACGGAAGTTGTGAAAAAAAACGCAATGGCGCGCTAGTTTGCAGAAGTCGCTTAGATTCTAATTTCTCAAGATATTTCATTTCTCAGCGTACTGGACATGGTAAGTATATGGTCACATTCATGCCTGTGAGATGTCTGATGTTTTAATGTCTCCGACCAGGGGCTGGGTTTGTTGCGAGATTGCTGGGTAGAGATATAATCAGACGACTAGACTCTGATTTGATTATAAGATATAAGAAGAATGAACCCAGTCAGTCGAAGTCGTAGCAACGTAGCATTGAGTTTGGGTACTGAGAACATTTATGAAGAAATGGACAACATCTGAAAGACACTGAAATATACTCAGTTGCCAAGTTAACTTAATGTCACCCGTTTATATATAATTATAAGGGGTAATGTTGTGATTATAACCATCTGGCCGTGGTAACTTGCCTTGAATTTTAGTATAATTTTAGGCAGCCACCCTCCCTCCTTTGGCACACCAATAAAGTATACGTGCTTGTTTCTTAAACAGATCATCATAAAATTACCAGGTGAAGTGAGACCATCATTACCTCTAATATATGATAGTATCAAAGTATTTTAATAAAATTAAACATACAAAAAAAAAAAAAAAAAAAGAACTGAACTCTAACAATTAAAACACAAAAAGTATTTTGCACAATATTTATTGCCTTGCATATTTCACTGTGTCTCGTCAACGGGGAAACATCAGTTTGATTTCCCAAAAACAGAACTAGATGCGTGAAAATATGACAAAAATCCAGAAAATATAGATGAAAGTGCAGAGAGAATCGGAACGTTAGATAAAATTTGGTAAACAATAAAAAAAAAAGGGGTAGCCAAAGACTATGATGATAGCTAATAAAGCTAATCCGGATAGGAGGAGAAGCCTGCATTTAAATAGCACACTTTATTTTAGAGGGACTGAAACAACGCTGTTTGGATCAAAGCTTGGAAGAGAGCAGTCGGCATTCATCCATCAGAGGGACTGAAACAACGCTGTTAGGATCAAAGCTTGGAAGAGAGCAGTCAGCATTCATCCATCAGAGGGACTGAAACAATGATGTTAGGATCAAAGCTTGGAAGAGATCAGTCGGCATTCATCCATCAGAGGGACTGAAACAATGATGTTAGGATCAAAGCTTGGAAGAGAGCAGTCAGCATTCATCCATCAGAGGGACTGAAACAATGATGTTAGGATCAAAGCTTGGAAGAGATCAGTCGGCATTCATCCATCAGAGGGACTGAAACAACGCTGTTTGGATCAAAGCTTGGAAGAGAGCAGTCGGCATTCATCCATCAGAGGGACTGAAACAACGCTGTTAGGATCAAAGCTTGGAAGAGAGCAGTCAGCATTCATCCATCAGAGGGACTGAAACAATGATGTTAGGATCAAAGCTTGGAAGAGATCAGTCGGCATTCATCCATCAGAGGGACTGAAACAATGATGTTAGGATCAAAGCTTGGAAGAGATCAGTCGGCATTCATCCATCAGAGGGACTGAAACAATGATGTTAGGATCAAAGCTTGGAAGAGATCAGTCGGCATTCATCCATCAGAGGGACTGAAACAATGATGTTAGGATCAAAGCTTGGAAGAGATCAGTCGGCATTCATCCATCAGAGGGACTGAAACAATGATGTTAGGATCAAAGCTTGGAAGAGATCAGTCGGCATTCATCCATCAGAGGGACTGAAACAATGATGTTAGGATCAAAGCTTGGAAGAGATCAGTCGGCATTCATCCATCAGAGGGACTGAAACAATGATGTTAGGATCAAAGCTTGGAAGAGATCAGTCGGCATTCATCCATCAGAGGGACTGAAACAATGATGTTAGGATCAAAGCTTGGAAGAGATCAGTCGGCATTCATCCATCAGAGGGACTGAAACAATGATGTTAGGATCAAAGCTTGGAAGAGATCAGTCGGCATTCATCCATCAGAGGGACTGAAACAACGATGTTAGGATCAAAGCTTGGAAGAGATCAGTCGGCATTCATCCATCAGAGGGACTGAAACAACGATGTTAGGATCAAAGCTTGGAAGAGATCAGTCAGCATTCATCCATCAGAGGGACTGAAACAACGATGTTAGGATCAAAGCTTGGAAGAGATCAGTCGGCATTCATCCATCAGAGGGACTGAAACAATGATGTTAGTATCAAAGCTTGGAAGAGATCAGTCGGCATTCATCCATCAGAGGGACTGAAACAACGATGTTAGGATCAAAGCTTGGAAGAGATCAGTCGGCATTTATCCATCAGAGGGACTGAAACAACGATGTTAGGATCAAAGCTTGGAAGAGATCAGTCGGCATTCATCCATCAGAGAGACTGAAACAATGATGTTAGGATCAAAGCTTGGAAGAGATCAGTCGGCATTCATCCATCAGAGGGACTGAAACAACGATGTTAGGATCAAAGCTTGGAAGAGATCAGTCGGCATTTATCCATCAGAGGGACTGAAACAACGATGTTAGGATCAAAGCTTGGAAGAGATCAGTCGGCATTCATCCATCAGAGGGACTGAAACAATGATGTTAGGATCAAAGCTTGGAAGAGATCAGTCGGCATTCATCCATCAGAGGGACTGAAACAATGATGTTAGGATCAAAGCTTGGAAGAGATCAGTCGGCATTCATCCATCAGAGAAATAAAATTTAAAATTATGCTCTAGTTATGGACTCGATGAAGTTTAGCCATAACATTGTTTTAAGAAATCATGAGGAAATTGAAATAATCTTAGAGTATGAATTATAACATGTACAGGCAAGTTTATGTATAAGGCAAATGTATCAGGGATAGCATCTTCAGTAAGAACCATCTTTAAGAAATACAAAAAGTATGTTGTGAGTCTCCACTGGTTTTATTAGCTACAATCAGGCCTTCAGCTGTCCAGTAGAAATGGAGGAATATCATGTGATGAAGTTAACGGAAGCATTGTATCCTGACCAAGATGTAGCTGTCCGGACAACCAGTTTTATGTCACTGGTTGAACTCTTTTGGTTCCATAAGGTTGTGCACAAAAATCATTATTTTCATTAAATATTGCCACAAAAAGTCCAACCACTTGCTGTGTTGTGAGACTGAAAAATGAATGAAAGATCCCCCAGTGGTTGCTAGATTTATTTACTCTACACTGACCAAAACTTGACGAGAAATGAATGAAAGATCCCTTGGTTGCTAGATTTAATACACTGACCAAAACTTGAATGTAAGAAAAAACTTGATGTGATATTTGAGACATGTTGGGGATAGTCAGTAACACATCATGTATTGTTTGGGCCTGAAAGAGTTCAGGTATAGTGGGGAAAAGTCGTGGCTGTATTTCTCTCCCCCACTTGTTAAACATTTGCTCAGAGAAATGTTAGAAATGGTAAAGAAATGGAAAGTGAAAGGTGATTTTCTTATGGTGTGTTGAAATCAGAATCCTGAATTTGGCTATGCAAGTAATACAAACCTTTTGTCAAATTGCACTAAGCCAGATTATTGTCTCCACAATGTGTGGGTGCAGTATAAACAGCTAGATGCACTATGTTATGTTATCACAGACAGCACCACTGCACATTATGCATTCCAATTCATGCTCAGCATCCGATACAGCAGCCATCCCATGGGGCAAAGACCTGTTTGAACAGCTACAAGTCCAGGTCATGTAATCAGGTTAGCGTCAGAGACTTGCCATTATCCATCAACGTGATGTGTTATGTCTCATTTGTTTGTAGATTCTGAGGTTATAGGTTAGATGTGAACTGCTCTGAATCTTAGATGAAAATATATTTTGTACTTTTCATTCCCAGATATGAAGATGTTTTATTGGTCTTTTTCAGGACATCAGAAAGTTCTTTGGACCTCATACTGCTGTAAAAAAATCAGCTGAGGCCACCAAGACTAAAGATGTACCCCCGAAGAAAAAAGACATTGTGCAGAACAAAGCTGTCACCCCAGGGAATAAAGACATCACCCAGAAAAACACAGATGTGACCCCAAAGAATAAAGACGTCACCCAGAAGAATAAAGATGTTATACCAAAGAATAAAGACATCACACCAAAGAATAAAGCTACGCTCTCCAGTGATTCTAAGAAAAATAAAAGACACTCAGTGGCAGATTCAGCAGGGAAGAAGAAAAAATCATTACCATCGTCTAAAAAACAAGCGGCCTCTGATGAGGTTGCTGTGATTATTGACGACAGTCCAGATGAGGAAGTTGTTACAAATTCTGACTCATCTTCAAAAAGAGACAAAAGTTCTAGTAATTCTGCTGGCAAAACTAAAATAAAAAGTAGATCTAGCAAAGTTTCATCTGTTGATTCATTTACTGGTCTCAATAACGGAAAACGTGAAAAACAGGGAAAGTCAGCTCAAGGACATGGGAAAGACAAAAGTGACGATGATATTGACATTGAAAATGTTAACTCAAGTAACTCTTCTGTGTCAGGCTCCGGTCAAAGGAAAGAAATCCAATAAGAAATGTGATTCTCAAGAGGAAGTCAAGAAAACAAGCAAGAAACGTGGTTCCCAAGATGATGTTAGTGAAAGCAGCAGCAAAAATGTCAAACACAGGGATGCAGACGTGAGGAAAAGTCCCAGGAAAAATAAGAAAACTCAATCTAACGGAGATGGAAAAGGTGGAAAGAGTCATAAAAGAAACCAGGTCTGAGTTTTGTCTGGTTCTTGTGTTGGTTAATTGTTCAAATCTATGCGATATTGCTGAGTGATGAGATAGCATTCTTCTAATTTTCTTACATTGTTTGTTTCTGTTTATAACTAAAGTGGGACTTAGTTTAACAGCCATACCTCATTCATTGATCACTAGATCAGAGAATCTGAAAACTTGTGTTTAATGCAGCTAATCCACTATTGCTATACATTACAAAACAAGCTTAGTTAATGGAACTGCTTCTGTTTGCACCTTCATAGTGGTTAGAGCAGTGGTTCTCAACCTTCCTAATGTGGCGACCCCTTAATATACGGTTCCTCACATTGTGGTGACCCCCCAACCATACAGTCATTTTGTTGCTACTTCATAACTTCAGTGAATATGTGTTTTCCGATGGTCTACAGGTGACCCCTGTTTAAGTGCCGTTGGACCCCTAAAAGGGTCGCAACCCACAGGAGAACTGCTGGTTTAGAGAAACCGTGTATTATGATTATATTTTCTGATAATAGCATGGGGGGGGGGGGGGGGGGGGTAATTGTTTGGAATAAAGTATTTTTAAAGCTATTATGACATCATAATTTGCCTTTAGTCTTGGCGGCCACCAAGTGACAAAGTTATAGGTCGCTGTTTGAGTCACTGTATACATTTGTTTAGGCTGAAGGGAATATTATCCATGTAATTCTCTGTTCGATTGTGTTTTTTTTTAAATTACTCCCCTATATATATTTTCTATAAAAAAAATTTTAAGGTGCACAGAAATAAATGTTTACAAGATATTAATTACCTGTGTCTAATGGTAGTTTAAAAAACAACAACTCAACACTAGTGATCCTATGAAATCATTTAATTCTGTCATTTGATGATGATAAAATAATATATTTTGTGTATGTGTTTAGTTAAAACGAGATTGCTGCCCTGTTGTCAGATATCAAGTGAAGATGACGACAGTGATATACAAATTGAGGAGAGTTCAGACGAGCAAGAGGAGATTAATTACCAGCAGAAGAAAGAACAAGAAGGGCAGATCTAAACCATCAAAAAAGGCTAATCGTGTTTTGGATTCAGGTAGACATCCAGACTTTGTGCACGATGATATGTAGTCTGGAGATGTTCTTTGATGTAACATTTGATGTTGTGTTTGATGTTTTTAATGTAACAGTTCTCATATGATGGTCATTCTTTGATGTAACTTTGATGTTGTGTTTGATGTTTTTAATGTAACAGTTCTCATATGATGGTCATTGATGTTGTCTGTGATGTTTATTTGATTTTTCTGTGATGATGTTGAGTTATGCTGTCTGTCATGATGTTCATTGATGATGTCTGTGATGATGATCAGTGAAATAGTCTGTGATGATGTTCATTGATCATGTCTGTGATGATGTTCATTGATGTTGTCTGTGATGTTCATTGATGTTGTCTGTGATGTTCATTGAGCATGTCTGTGATGATGTTCATTGATGTTGTCTGTGATGTTCATTGATGTTGTCTGTGATGTTCATTGATGTTGTCTGTGATGTTCATTGATGTTGTCTGTGATGTTCATTGATGTTGTCTGTGATGTTCATTGATGTTGTCTGTGATGTTCATTGATGTTGTCTGTGATGATGTTCACTGATATAGTCTATGATGATGTTCATTGATGGTGTCTGTGATGTTCATTGATGTTGTCTGTGATGTTCATTGATGTTGTCTGTGATGTTCATTGAGCATGTCTATGATGATGATCAGTGAAATTGTCTGTGATGATGTTCATTGATCATGTCTGTGATGATGTTGATGATGTTCACATTGATGTGATGTCTATGTTGATGTTCATGTTCATTGATGGTGTCTGTGATGTTCATTGATGTTGTCTATGATGATGTTCGTTATTATTTTTTTCTTTGATGATGTTCACTGATATAGTCTATGATGATGTTCATTGATGGTGTCTGTGATGTTCATTGATGTTCACCATGATTCTGTTCTTGTCAAAATGCACTGCCTAGTATTTTCACCTCTGTCAAAATTATTATGGGATTTTATGGGATATTTAATTTTCAGAATCTGAGGAAGATCCCCTACCTAAAGAAAAGCCAGCAGCAAAGAGAAAGAAAAAGGAAGCGCTTGTCTTTGTCAATGATTCAGGTTTGAAATTACTTTGTCATTAAATCAGAGGTGTGGATTTGAAGTATTAAAGCACATTTATATTGATACAGAATGACAATAGCCATTGTTACCAATCAAGCAGTGGATTGCAAACTGTTTCTTCTCACAACCTTAATGGCAAAAGTGGAAAATGATGATGATGATAATGATGAATGAAGTAGATGGAGAGTTAAGTAAAGGGAACGATGCAGATGTGAAATGTATCTGGTGGGACTGTGATATTTGCCCTCTGAGCTGTAGAGATCAAAGGTTAGGAACAAGTATGACATCATCAGTTCCTGTGACATCATCTATCCCAATAAACAGTATTTTTGTTTATTCCAAAACTTTGGTTCTTATAAAAAAAAAAAAAAAAATTAAAAAACCAGCATGCCCATGTGGGTTCCTGGGCCCAATTGTAACCGCAAGAAATAACAGACCCACTCCCCCCCCCCCCCAACGAACATGTAGCAAAAGTAAACTCATTAGGGGTGCCTCCTTCAAAGTCGGAGTGTATCTGCCTGGAATCAACAGACTACATACAGATCTGTAAAATGGATGTGTATGCACAACTCAGGTTATGGAACAAGACTAAAGTTCAAAAGTGGACAAACAACCAGAACATTTTGCCGGGTTTACAGTGGGGAACACCGAGAAAAAGAAGAGGAAAAATCCCAGCAGAGAAAACTGGTCATCAGTCATGTGTTGTCTTCACAATAAAGGTTCACTGCAGTGGATTTCCAGAATGATCAATATTTTGCCTTGGACATACACTCTCTCAGACCGTTGTTCATGTAACTCTTGATGTTTTTCTCCAATTTGTATCGCTGCCTGCCTCTTGCTCGCTTGCATTTCACTTTTCCCTCCAGAATGGTTTTTTGTTGTTGTTGATTGTTCTGATTTATTTCCGTCGGCAACTTTGTATTTCCTTTCTAGTCTCTTCTGAACCATAACTTTCCGTTGGGGGGTATAGCTTTGGAACATGAAGAAGAAAAAATAATGTCTGTAAGAGGTTAGGCCGAAGGGCAGAATGTAAGACAGGTTTGCATTCCCAATTCTGAACCGTTTGCAAATAAATTATATTCATTGCAGGTATCCCCGTAAATGTTCCGGGGTATCATTGGGGTGGAGGGGTGACAAGAATAGATTCACTGCCTTTCCAACAAGCATGTGGTAAGGATCAACTAACTGGTGGCTTCCTTGGGAGTGCATCTACCCAAGCAGCAAGTAACAACCACTGCACACAAAAATGCCAGTAAAACAGATGTACACGCGAAACTCAGACCCTGGCACAAAGCCAAAGTTCAAATGGACGAACAACCAGGAGCTTCCGTCGAAGCTTACAGCCGGTGAATAAAAAAGAATGCAGGTAGACACCTCCCTGGCCAGTCCGACCAATGGAAGGAGTCATGATTCTTAGCCAGTTTGTGTGCGTCTTTGTTCCTGTTCCAGTTTGCTTGTTACACAATTAAGAGACTGTGTTAGAGTAGACTACATATGATTAGAGCCAAGAGAGTCATTGCAAGGATTATGTCACATATTAGTTATTCTGTTGTTAACCCTCCAACAGATGGAGAGAAGACAGAGACGGCGCTGGACAAGTTTGTCATTCACAACGTTAGCCCACAGCTGCAGGCAGACAAGAATAAAACTTCTAACAAAGAAGAGGTTACCAAAGGGAAGCCAGTCAGTGTGATGGACTTTTTTGGTAGTGGCACAGCAGCTAGAAGCCACAGAACAACGGCTGTTGTGAAAAGGAAACATGAAGAGCTTGACAAGGTAGGCTAGTTTATTGAGAGAATTGGTCTAAAATTTGATGGGACTAAAATGTTGATGAGGTAATCTAGTTCATTGGGATAATAGCTAAACTACAAAAAATCAGTTTGGTTTATAGAGTTTAAGAGTGTGAAATCTTGTGTGCATATCTGTTTTACAGATCTGGCTTACTTGTATGCAGACTATTGGTTCCTTGCCTCTCAGACAAAACACCCCTAATTAGTCACCTATTATTATATGCTTTTTAGAGAGGCAGTGGGTTCATCCAGATGGGGCCCCAGAACCCATGCGGGGAAGTACCTATCTTATATTCATAACATCAAACTGTGTTAACTAATAAGTATCTTACAACTAACACACAGGTTGGTTTTCCTTGTTTGGTTGAAGTGAGTGGTAGCATATATTGTTTCATAAGACATTCCCATAGTAAATGACGGATATATAACCAGATTACAACCAGTACCATTAGAATTGGAACTCTGCGTTGGCTGCTGAAGATAAGTACTGAGCACACATGGGAATGCCCTAAGTGCTATGATGTCAATTCTTGACAACTCAACTCAACTCGTAGAAAATGAATAATGTCATTATTTCTCACTTTACTTTACTTTACTTTTTCCTTCCACGTATGCCGCTAAGCGTTGTGGGGAGATGCAAGTTCCTGTCGTAAGCAAGGCGGGCAGCATCTGATGTTCTGAGGCCATGCTTTTGGCAGGTTTCGGAGACCCCGTCAATCCACCGTTTCCTTGGTCTTCCTCTTGCCTTATATCCTGAGCTTCTTTGGTTGAAAATTTGCGATGTTATTTGATCATTATTCATCCTGGTTAGATGTCCAAACCATTTCATTCTTTGATGTTCTATGTAGTCTAAACATGGTGTAGTTTTGACAGTGTTTCTAATGTCTATATTCTTTATCCTGTCTAGTCTGGTCTTATTCGCTGCTTTTCTTAGACATTTCATTTCACAGGCTTCTATTTTTTTCTTTCGTGGGTCTTGTTGATTGTCCATGTCTGGCACTGGTAGCAGAGTGTTGGAATGAAGATGGTGTTTATCAATTGTCTTTTGATCTTCATGGTTATATCTGGATGTTTAAGCAGAGGTGATAGTTGGTATGTGACAGCATTTGCTTTCTGTATTCTTGTTTCTATCTCTCTGTCCATTCTTCCATCCTCTGTAAATATACTGCCCAAGTATTTGAACTCTTTGGTTTGCTTGATTTTGGCACTTCCAACATTTATATTCAGTGGCCTGTGTGTTCTGCTCATCTTCATAACTTCTGTTTTTTCTGTACTGATTCTCATATTATGTTGTAAACAGCTGTTGTTGAGAGTAGTCAGATGTTCCTGTAGATCATATTCATTTTGATACAGTATGCTTTGATCATCAGCAAAAAGTAATTCGTTTATAGCATACACGTCTGGGTTTGCTTCTACAGTGATCTTATCCATGTATGTTATGAAAAGTAATGGTGACAGTACACATCCTTGTCTGACACCAGTTGTGACTTTGAACCATTCAGAAAGACCACTAGATGTTCTTACTGCACTTTCACTTTTTTCATAGAGGGCTCTGATGTTGTCTAATAATTGACCCTGCACTCCGTAATCGTCAAGAATTCTCCACAGCACATCTCTGTCTACACGGTCGAATGCCTTCTCTTGGTCTACAAAGACCACGTTCAGCTCTTTATCGTATTCGAGTGTCTTTTCACAGACTTGTCTTAGTGCAAATATGGCATCAGTGCAACCTCGCCCTTTCCTGAAACCGAATTGTGCTTTACTCAGTAGAGGTTCAACCTTTGCTCTTATCCTACCTTCTAAGATCTTTGCATACATTTTCCCCACATGACTTAGTAAAGATATTCCTCTATAAGTTCCACATTCTCTCTTGTTTCCTTTTTTCTTCCAGATAGGTACTACAACTGATCTTTGCCAATCCACTGGTACCTTTCTCTCTGCCCATGCTCTATTAAAAATTCTCTCCAGCCAGGTGATCATAGTGTCCCCTCCAGCCTGGATGACTTCTGTTGTTATTCCGTCGATACCAGCTGCTTTGTGTCTTTTACTTGTTTTGATAACTTTCTCTACTTCATCCCGCAGGATGTGTGGTTCTAGATGATCTGGAGCCCTTGAATAGAATTCTGCTGTTTCATGTACTCCCGACGGGTTCAAAAGTTCTTTAAAATATTCCTCCCATCTTTTTTTAATTTCTTTTTGGCTGAATAATGGTTTTCCATTTTTATCATTTATGACTGATGTTGGATTGAAGCTTTCTTCTCTTAATCGCATCGCTTTCACACTCTTATAAAAGTCTCTTGATGATTCTGTACATAGCTGTGTTAGGTGTTCACCATACTTTTTCCATGATTCCTCTTTGGATTTCTTTATTGTTCTCTTGGTGTCTCTTCGGGTTAGTCTGTACCTAATGTAATCCTTTTCGTCTTTTGTTTTTAACCATATTTGAAACATCTTCTTTTTATTTGACACTGCTTCTTTGACTTCTTCATTCCACCAAGCGGTACCCTTTTTCTTGCCTTTGCCCGTCTTTCTGGTACCACACTTGTCTTTTAATATCTTCGTGATGGTTGATTTATAATAATCCCATTCTTCTTCAATTCCTACTGGTTCCTTGGCAATATCTGCAAAAGCCTTTGTTATTTCTAGTTCAAATTCATGTTTGATATTCTCTTCCTCTAATTTCTTAGTGTTGATGATTTCTTCACGTTTCTGTTTATGTAGACTGTTTCTACTTGAGTTGCATATGTTCATAACTACTGGGCGATGGTCTGAATCCAGTCCCGCATTTGGGACAGCTTTTGAGTCTCTTAACTTCCTCTTCTGCCGTTGTCTGACTAGTATAAAATCAATTTGTGACGCTTGATCTAAGTTGTTCCACTTGTACCACGTTTTAACCTGACTTTGGCGATGTTGGTAGAATGTGTTGGTAATGTAGAGATCTTGTTCAGCACACAAGTTTAGCAGGTGTTCTCCATTTCTATTGCAATCTGTGGTTGTGTCGCTAAATGGGCCAAGGTATCTCTCCCATGGTGATCTTCTTTTACCTACCCTACCATTAAAATCTCCCATTACTATGATGTCCTCTTTCTCTTTAACATTGTTGATGGTGTCCGTAAGTCTCTCGTAAAAGTCTTCTTTTTTCTTCTTCAGAATAACTGTCATTGCAAGGTGCATATATCTGAATAATCGTTGTAGTTTTACTTCCTTCTGTCAACTTGATTAAAATAATTCTTTCTGATATAAATTCTGTTCCTGTTATTAATTTTGCTGTCTCGGGATGAAGTATAAATCCGACACCATGTTTTGCCCTATCTTTAGTGGGTACTCCGCTCCATAATAAAACATAATTTTCATGTATTTCTTTTGTATTATATCCTTTCTTTCTTGTATCCGCAAGACCCATGACGTGTATATTTTTTTCTTTTCATGAAATCCACTATTTGTGGCTCTTTGTTGGCAATACCACATATGTTCCATGTGCCTATGTAAGTCGTTTTTCTGTCTCGTCGTCCTTTAACGTTTCCAGTCCATTTTCCGTTTGGGGCTATCCGTTTATATATCTCCTTTCTAATTTTCGTAGCAATAAAAAATCCACTGCCGGCTTGCTAGGCCAGTCGCAGTTTAAGGGAAAATCTGACCAGATGGACCCCATCCCATCTGGCGAGCCAGAGCCTCGTTCGCCTGTGGCCTCACGGCCACAGTTTCCCGGTCTGCACCACTGGGAGGAGAGGTTGACTTATGTGTACTGTGGGTCATCGGCAGGCTACTAATTTTCACTTTTCACCTCTCCTAAGAGAAGCTAGCCGACCCCAACCCTGCTGGATGCAGAGCCAGGCACAGTCCACATCTTGCAGACCCTATTTCTCACTGATTATATTTTAACAAAAAATGTTTTTCCTTGACCAGTCTGCAGAAATAGATTTAACATTTGATGAGGAAGAACATGATGATGATGCTTTCTTGAAAACCCTGGATCAGTTGGATGGACCAACAATTAAAAAGGTAAACACTGTTGCTGTAGTCTTTAGCCTCTGCTTCTAAGATGCACATGTGGGGGGGGGGGTCAGAGCGTGATTGGGTGTGGAGTGGCAGGAAATTCCAGTGCATCGGATATATGTGAGTTGTAACTTGTATCATAGACTTTTATCTATAAGAATGCAATACCTTATAATTTGCTGTATGCTGAGAGAGAGTGAACACCTAAGTTTTCCTCGTAGTGCAGAAACACATCCCTGCAGTGCTAACTTTGTTCAATGTGTTGCAGGTCAAACAGTCGGAAGACGGTCAGGAGAATGTAGAGCCTGTACAGGAGAAGACTGGTATTTAAGTTTTTCTTTCGTGTATTCATGAGTGCTCTTTGTCTTTCTGTTACCTTCTTTCTGCCATGTGTGAAGTATAGCCTCCTTCTTCTTCGTGTGAACCAGCTGTAAACTCTGGTGAAAATTTGTTCGTCCACTTATGGGCTTTGGTCTTGTTCCAGAACTTGAGTTATGGTGTGTGTGTGACTTATTTGTAAGCAGACTGTTGGGTCCTCGCCTCAGGCAAATGCACTCCGACTTTGAAGGAAACACCCCTAATTAGTTGACTTTTAGGACATGCTTGTTACAGGGGCTGTGTTTATATACCCCCCCCCCCCCCCTTTAAATTACGGCCCAGAACCCATATGGGGATAAAACATATCCAAAGATGAAAACTGTAAAAGGTATGACTAAATCCATATCCAGGTTAGTGGATATGGAGGGGGGGGGAGGGGGAGCCTGACCTACCAGGCTTGAGCATTTCACTGTGGGCACACGATGTTTGATTAATAAGCAGAACAGGCCTGATGTATCATTTTGTGCCTGTTAAGCTACTGAAGAGGAGATCAGAGCACTTATGGATCTGTCCGGAATGATGTGGAGATAGTCCTCACTATTCAGTTGGACATGGGGTGAGCATGCAGTAGCGAAGGATAGAATGACTTGGCGTGAGTTGGTTGAGAGCCTATGCTCAGTTGAGGGACAGAAGGTAGAAGAAGAAGAAGGATCACTTGTGTCTTTATTTCTCTGTCTCTCAGTCTCTGTCTTGGTCTACTTCTGTGTCTCCTTGTCTCATCACTTTCATGCTCTCTCTCTCACTTTTCCCTTTCTTTCTCCATTTCTTTCCCTTTTTGTGTCTCCTCTTTTTCTCTTTCTCTTATCTCATTCTACCTCTCACCTTACTGCTCTTGTTTTTTCACTCCCTTTTTTCATCACACTGTCTCTGCCTCCCTCCCTCCTCTCCTAGCTGATTACACTTCCTCTTTCCCCTTACATTGTAACTCTATTCCCCCTACTCTATCTCCTCTCTTTCACACATTATTCCCCTCTCATTATCACTCTGTCCCTTCCTTCCTCCTCCCTCTCAGATTATTCCCCATATCATTGTCACTTACTCTTTATTTCTTCTCTTTCTCCCCCCTCCCCTCTTTCATTATCCCTTTCTCATTGCTACTGTCTCCCTTCCTTCCTTGTTTTTTCCTCCTTTCCATATATAATACATATAAACGAGACTGCTAATGCTAAATATGTAGTTATTATGAAGGAACAAGGGGCACAATGTCAGACTGACATGCAGTCAAGTCTGAACACTGAACTCTTGGGGTGTGGGGTCCATCCAACTCTCCCATGCTCTCCTTCTCTCCTGGTGATCTCTATCTCTACTCTCTCCTTCTCTCCTGGTGATCTCTATCTCTACTCTCTCCTTCTCTCACACTTTACGTTTATCATAGCCAAGACAAGCGATAATTTTGCAGTTTCCTTTGTCAGAATGGTTGTACATTTGGTTTTAAACCAGTTGCCATTGAAAAATGTGGCCACTCTAATGTGGAGAAAGTCCAGCTAACACATTTTTTGTTTGTGTCTACTTTGTTTAAATATACTGGTTGTCTAAGAGTTAATATCCTAACATTTCATGGCTTATCTGTGAATCTGGTACAGGAAGTCTAGCCAGTAAACTTGTCAGCAAGATGAAACAGTCACCCGTGGGCAGCCCTGACATCAATGGAAATGCCAAAAAGGACGAGACATCGCCAGCTGCAAAAAACACAAAGGTAATTGTAATATCTGAACGTGTCAAACAAGGTGATAATTAGGAGTTATTATTGGATGTCTTGGGGCTAAAGGCACATAGTTTGCAGCCTAGCTGTAAACCACAACACAATAGGCTAAATGTGGTTTTAAAAACAAATGCAGAAGAAGAAAATCAGTGCCTTTGAAAATAGTAAATGCCAAGAAGGCTTAAATGTTCTGGTAAATAGAACATCCTGTGTGCAGTGTACTTGGAACAAATCAGTTGTTAGTTGGAATCATATGGAGATGTCAGTATATTTTCACAACCCGGGTAATATTTATAAATTCAACATTCAATAACACATTCAATAAGTAAATAAAAATAGTAAATAAAGAAAGATAACGACACTGGTATGGTCAAAAAATCCCTGCAACTGATACCTAGAGTGCATCAGGGTCTAATTTATGCCTGTATATACATAGATCAAATTCGTTTGTCTTTTGTACACTTTTTGTAACCCGTTTGAATGAACATGTTTAAAAACCTAAATTTGACCTGTTAGTCGGAAACAGATCTCTGTTGTAAGTGGTGAAGACCTTGAGTGTGTGGTAGGAGAATAGGCCTTAGAGAACGTTGGGATAACTGGAAAGATCTGTTCAGAGGAGACAAAGGTAACAAAAGAAATTATGTGATATTCTAAGATAGTGGCATGGAGGATATATGGCGCCCCCCCATGCTATTAATTCATATTCTGACCTCCCAGATGTTTGCTAACAGCATCAACTATGTGTCTCAAAAACGATCACTATAAAGTTGGAAAAGGGACATTTACTGCAAATTTGACCCTACAGGAGGAGTCAGTTTTGCGGCTTCTGGGGATGAGAGGATTAATGAACTGTAATTTTATTTAAAACATATTTCAGAGTCTGATCAAGGATGTCACTCTAGCAAAACCTCTGACAAAATCACCCCCAAAATCTCCAGCAAAGAAAGGGCGTATTTATTCCATGGAAGTGACAAAAGCCAAGCCAGTCTCTCCGACCAAATCCAAACAGGATGATCTGGAGGAGGTAACTCCGGCAAAGAAAGCTGCGACCACTCCGGCTGACAAGGGATCTTCATCCAAGAGAAAAGATACAGCCGGGAAAAATGATGATGTAAGTAGATAGAGCTTATTTGAAGTAAGTATGTTTCTTTCTGTTTCCCTTCTTTCTGCCCTTTATTCCCAGTAGAGGATAGGCTTGCCAGTGATTAGTGAAGTTGATCATGACAGCACTGCCGATTGAGCTAATGTTCTCCTCAGTAGCCCCACAAGCATGAAAGGACAGATGATGGTTGTTCTGTATTGATTAATTAGACGCCTTGTCCCTTATTGTCTTCGCGGTAAGTGCTGTGCATGGCATTGAGGACGTGGCTTCTGTCTGGTACAGGTACTATACCTGTCGTAGAAACCGCAGTTTCTGTCAGATAATCTGGGTCATCTGGGTAAAGATTCCACATCACAGCGTTCAGGACAATCCCATATAAGCTCTATTTTCCTCTTCAGCAGCCAGCGAAGGGTCTCCATACCGATGGTACCTGCTGTCATAGGCTGACAGAGATCAGTTTCATTTTTGTGCCAAGGCTCGGAGGTGTATAGTGAAAAGAGCAAGCTAGTAGGTTTGCAGGTAAGGCTACTGTGGAGGGCCGACAAGCTGGGGACAAGGCTGATATTCTGAATGCTGTACGAGAAGTAAGACTTTTGCGAGAACCAGGTCACTATGAATCTGCAACCATGGCCAGACTACGGAAACAGCAAGTTAGAAGAGGAGTGGCCAGGAAAGAGCAGTATGCAGGAAGCCAAAGAAGAATGAGAGACCAACATAGAACCTGTGTCGTCAGCCTCTTCACACTACAGGATTTACTGAGGCAGGATCCGATCACTTATGGACTGAATGGTTCGATGCGCAATTATGATAATCTGTCACTGACTAACTAACCAACCCTTAGGGATATTTTTCTGTTCCAACTGCAACCAATTGTAAGATTCTTCCTGGCTGGGTTCCGGGGCCCCATTGTGGGGAAAACCAGAATAGACCCACGGCCTCCCCAACAAGCATGTCCTAGGAGTCCACTAATTGTGGGGCATCCTTAAGAGTTTGAGTACATCTGCCTGAGAGGCAAGGAATCAGTAATCTGCATACAAATAAACCAGACCTGTGCACACAACACACAAAAGACCAAAGTCTGGAAGTGGGCGAACAGCCAGAACTTTATGCCAGAGTTTACAGCTGGTAAAGGCGAAGATGAAGATGACAAGGAAATCTAGGATTTAGCCCACTCATATAAAATGGGCATATCAGTTTCTTTTATCTGTAGAGGAAAAGCTGTGTGGAAGAGAGTGGTAACCTCATCCCTAGATTTGTGAACAATATGTTGCACTCTTTCACACCTGATATGACAATAGCAGCAATGAGGTACTTAACCTTTGTCCGATGTTTATGTTGCAGGATGGTTTCGGAACAAAGGCTATAGGTGGCTACAAAGCTTTCAAGGCTAGAGGGGGACCACAGGCCCTGGGTACTAGAGAACCTCCTCAGGTAGGTTTGGTTTCTGCAAGCATGTTCAAGCCATCTGCATCTTCTTCCTTTGTAAACATTTACCCGGCAACTTAAATTTGTCTATTTATATAAAATTAATGAGGAATACAAGAGTCACTATTCATGTCCTGTTTTTCGATGACAAAACCTCTAGTATTTTTTAAAAAGTTGTTGAGTGCCGAAGATTTTGATTGTTTGTCGGCTCTACAGGGAGCGGAAAACTGCCTGGAAGGTCTAACATTTGTCATTACGGGAGTTTTGGACACTATGGAGAGGGACGATGCCAAGGCTGTCATCGAGAAGCATGGGGGAAAGGTGACGACCAGCCTTAGTCGTAAAACCAGCTACATGGTAGTCGGCAGAGACGCAGGGGAGAGCAAACTGTCAAAGGTAAGCTATGGTTATTCACCCCTGCTATAAAATAGTTATGTATTCTATATAGTTGGAAAAAAAATTGGGGGGGGGGGGGAGTGGGATACTTAATATGCTAGCGGGCCATTGGGCATGCTTTGATAGATTCATATTTGTGTAAACCAGTCAGTACGGTTGGTGATTTAGTCAACATTACAGTGACCACCTTTACTTCCAAGGACATTTCCTGATACTTGTTTTAGGCAGTATCATTTTAAGAGCCGTCTTAAAAAAAAATTCTTTTTATAGTCCATGCCATGTGACGTCAGTAGTCATATGTCTGTCCATAACCTTCTGTTTTGTGTATTTTTAATAAATTCAGATGCAGATGAACTTCCATGCCATGTTATTAAACATTCCAGAATCTTCTCTCAGTCTCCCTCTGCCTCTGTTTCACCTTTTCCATGGTGATGATGTACTTCAGTTGTCATCTTCTCGTGACATGACCAAAAAATGTAGATTGTCTCCGTCTGATGTGAGGAATCAGTTCTGTTAGATTAAACATTCCAGAATCTTCTCTCAGTCTCCCTCTGCCTCTGTTTCACCTTTTCCATGGTGATGATGTACTTCAGTTGTCATCTTCTCGTGACATGACCAAAAAATGTAGATTGTCTCCGTCTGATGTGAGGAATCAGTTCTGTTAGAGAACATAAGAGCCTGGATGAAGATTTGAACAAAAGACATTTAGGCCAACATATACTAATTTATACAAGGTTAACATTAAAACCTTGATCAAGATGTACTACATTTCCCCAAGTATTTTGCAAAAAAAATCGGGTCTACCGTTTGCGTCTTATACAATGGTAGTAGATTTATATAATCACAATATTTGTTTCCAAAATTACCCTTCCCAAAATCAGGGTGTGTCTTATACAGGGAATCATGTGATACCTGGGGAAATATGGTCGTTAATCTAATTCGTCAACTGTTTATTATTTAGGCTCGGGACCTGAAAGTGAAGCAGCTAAGTGAAGATGAACTCTACGACCTGATAGCAACACTGCCTGGCAAGACTTCCAAATACGAGACCCAAGCCAAGGAGCTGCTGCAAAAGGTTTGTCAGCTCTAATTGGGGCATAGTCTCCTCCTGTCTGTAGACATCACATAAAGCTTTCATCAGAGTGCCTGAGCCATGGAAGAAGATCCAGATGTGTGTACATACCATAATCACACATGCTGTGAAGATTTTTGTGTGGCATCAGTATTTGTGTGTGTGTGTGTGTGTGGGGTATAAATATTCTTTCATGGGTATAAACATTATTTTGTGGCTTAAAGTATTCTTTTGTGTGGAAATAAAAAATTTTCTGGGTATAAATATTTCTTTGTGATTATAAATATTATTTTATGGGCATAAAAATTATGTTGTCATTATAAATATTATTTTCTGGTTATAAATAACCTATTGTAATTATAAATATTATTTTGTGGTTATAAATATTCTGTTGTGATTATAAATATTCTTTTGTGGTCAAAAATATTATGTTGTGATTATAAATATTCTTTTGTGGTTATAAATATTATTTTATGGGCATAAATATTATTTTCTGGTTATAAATATTCTTCTGTAATAAATATTATTTTCTGCGTATAAATATTCATTTGTGATTATAAATATTCTTTTCTGGTTATAAATATTCTATTATAAATATTATATTCTGGTTATAAATATTCTATTATAAATATTATATTCTGGTTATAAATATTCTATTATAAATATTATATTCTGGTTATAAATATTCTATTGTAATTATAAATATTATTGTCTGGTTATAAATATTCTTTTGTGATTATAAATATTTTTTTGTGTGGTTATAAATATTATTTTATGGTTATAAATATTCTATTGTAATTATAAATATTATTTTGTGGCTATAAATATTCCATTGTGGTTATAAATATTATTTTACAGTTGTAAATATTATTTTGTGGGCGAACACCAAACATCTAAACTGCTCCACTCCTTCTTCTTTGCATTCACCAGCTGTAAATTCTGGCATAAAATTCTGGTTGTTTGTCCACTTCTGGACTTTAGTCTTGTTCTAGAACTTGATTTTTGCTTGCCCATCTGTTTTAAAGACCTGGCTTAGTTGTATGCAGACTGTTGGTTCCTTGCCGCTTGGGCAGATGCGCTCCAGCTTCAGAGGAAAAATCCAGAATGAGTCACCTTTTACAACATGCTTGTTAAGGAGGTCGTGGGTACAAGGGCTGCAATCTGAAAAATGGCACTTACAAGTTTGCTTGAATACACATGTTTGAGTGTAAATTATATACACTTGTGCATTTGTTGTCCCGTGGCACCAGGGTCAGATTTTTCGTATGATTTTATGGCACTGATGTTGACTCAGTCTCACACACGATATCCCACATGTTTCATTATATCATAATTAAATAACGTAGCTGCTAGCTTTGAGTTTCAAAACGGGGTGACGTAAATAGGGGGTGCTACAGTCGAGCTGATTGCAAGAAATGCTAAATTTAACACAAGTAACAGAAAGTGTATTCTCTAGTGTGTTCTTCTATCTTTCTACTTCTTTCTATGAGTGCCGATCAATACACTTTCTGTTACTTGATTAATTCATAATATTTAAGGGCCTCAAAGGTTCCCCCTCTGTTTATTTATAAATTTAACTCAAAATGTGACTATAGAAGTTTTCCATAAAAATTTCATTTGTGTTTGTATACGTCTTTTCCATTCCTCCGTTGAGCTTTCTAGTCACATTGTGTGTTATATTTAGCATTTCAAAATAGGAGGCTATCTCCTCATGGGAACAAACAGTTGAGGTACCTTGGGGTGGCTGCTGCATCTCAGGACTGATCACACATTTGAATGCCCGATGATCAGTGACATCCATTGTGCTAACCTGATATGTTTAATATTATTTTATAAACATCGTGTTTAAATGTTGAGATGAAGTTTCTGTTTGTTTGTTTGTGTTGACCTGTAGGAAGCTTCGCAGAAGAAGGCTGATGAGAAGAAGGCAGCAGCAGCAGCTCAGAAACTTCAGTCATTCCGTTCTGAGAAAGATATAAAACTCTCACAGGCCCCATCTACTTCCCCTAAAAAGGAAACTTTGTTTACCCAGATCAAAGATTCTTCTACGTGTGCAACCTTGAAACATTCCACCGCTGCATCCAAACAATCAGAGACATCATGTGATAAAAGTGTTAAAACAGAGGCCCAGTCAGAAACATCATCTGATACCCCTGTGAAAACAGAGGTCCAATCAGAAAGCTTGATGTGGGTGGACAAACACAAACCCAAGAATCTCAAGCAGGTCATTGGTCAGCAGGGGGATAAAAGCAATGCCAGGAAGCTCCTTCATTGGCTGCAAACTTGGCATGAGAATGTGCTGGTGAAACGGTTGAAGCCTTCAGGTGGGTGCTGTGTGTTTTCATGTATTCAACCAAATAAACATTACTGACTGTAGTTTTGGTATGGGCCTTTCAGAAACAAGGGGAAATACCTTATTTTCACAGAATTCCAGCTCTTATTTTCACAGAATTCCAGCTAATTCAGAGAATTTTCTCAGCATTCACAGGCTGTGTGGTGAAAAGTCCTGGTTGTTCACCCACATCTGGGCTGTGGTCTTGTTTGAGAACTTGAGTTTTGCATTCATCCTTGAAAGAGCTGTTGTGTTGTGGTTTACAGCTTGACTGTGATATTTACTCTAACAGTGCGGTTTCCATCGAGTTCAGAGTGCATCTGCCTGAGAGGCAAGCAACCAACTGCTTACAAATAAGTCAGATCTGTAAAATGGTTGTGCATTTAACACTCAGGTTCTCAAACAGGTCAAAAGTCCAGAGGGGGACGAACAACTAGAACTTTCTGCCGGAGTTTACAGCTCGTGAACGTGAAAAAGAAATAGTGTCTTTGACAACATTCCTTGAAATGAGATCCCGGAACCCACACAAGGAATCCAGAGCAGTAATAAACAAAGACTCCAGCAGGAGAACTTGTCATTATCTGTTTCGGGGCCTATACTCCTGGGGGAGCTTACAGTTACAGCATGAGTCAGAAATATGGCTACATGATTAATTGCACATTTTCAGTGACATGGCAGTACTTTAGATAGGGACAAAGTGTTATATTCAGACTAAGGACAGAGCACAACAGACTTTGTCACCATATGTTCAAACCTTTCTGTGTAGGAAACATGGAGGCGTGTCCCTGCAGCGTGGCGTCAGAAAATGTTAAGCATGTGTTCCAACACTGTCAACTGTATGCTGACAACAGAGACGCAATCTGGCCTGTTCCAACCACACTGAAGACAAAACTGTATGGTACACGAGAAGATATAGATTGCACAATAGCTTTCGTAAACGCTACCGGCCTCCTGATATAAGTTTTCTGACAGAAGGATCGAAGAAGAAGACAGTACTTGTGTTGGCACTTTTCTGTCTGTCCAGATGAATTGTGTTATGTTGTGCTGTATGATGACATGACAATCACAGGTCGTGATGAGGGCGTGTTTGACAGCAAGACCAGCCCGCGTTAAAAGTTTTCCACAGTTAGAACATTTAATTTCAAGACAGCGGCTCCCATCACATGTTTAACCTGTTTCTTGTCAGACTTTCAGTCCTTTTCCTGTCTGCTGTCATTTTATTATTTTTTGTCCTATTCCTTTCCTTGGAGTTGCCGTGGTGTAGCGGCTAGACGCTCGCCTGTGGATCGGAAAGTGGTGGGTTCGGGTCCTGGCGGTTGCCGGATTTTTGTCAACAATGACCTTGGCTCCCAGGTCAACCCAGCCTTGAGTGTGTACCAGGTACAGTCCTGGGTAGTTAAGGCGACCAGCGTGACACTGACCACAAGACCCTTCAAGTGCCGTTTGGTCTGTAAAATATAGGTCTAGCCCTATATACCCAATACGCCTGTAGGCGTCAAAAATAGTTCTTCATTTCCATTTTTCCCTTGATTTATTTTTATTCTTTTTGCTCGCTCGAGTGACGTAAATGCGTTATGCTAGTCGCACACTGGGATTTAATGAGGAGGGGATCCGTGCAGTTATGGACTGAATGGTTCAGAGTGCTGTTATGCAGTTAGGATGATCTGTCAACTAACGAACAAACTTCATTGTTGCAGGGAATTTTTTTGGACGAGGAGATGGAGCTGGATGTAGGGCGGCACTGTTGTCCGGACCTCCTGGCATCGGCAAAACGACAACAGCAACTCTTGTTTGCCAGGTAAGTTCTACTTCATTTACTAACTTCATTTCACTTTTTAAAATCTGCAGACAATTTACACTGGTAGAGGAGAGGATGCAGAGCAAGAAAGAGCTGGATACCTGATTTAATTAGCTGGAGTCCCCCTGAATGGGTTCCTGGGCCCTATTTTGGTGAAACAAGAACAGACTAACAGCCCCTCCCTCCCTCTCCAGACACACACACACGCACGCAGGCACCCACCTACTGTCCCACCTACACACGGATGTGCACACACACAAACACACACACAGACAAGCTTGTCATAAAGTAGACTAATTAGGCATGTTTCCCTTCAAAGCTCCAGTTTATTTCCCTGAGAGATGAGAAACTGAGAAACCAGCATTCTGCCTAGAAATAAACTAGATCTATGAAAGAAAAGACATGCACACTAAACAAGTTCTTCAATGAGACCAAAGTATAGAAGTCAGTGTTGAAGATCTGAGCTCCCTGGTCGACCAAACCTAGAAATAAAAAGTAGGTCAGGGACCCTTTTTATGCCAGATGCTTACCAGGCATGTGGTTCTAGACTGATATGTTTATAAACCTCTCAGCCGTTAATGGGTGATGTGATCGAGATCACGCTGGCCACCTTTTTCTTTTCCAGGAGATTACCTGGCACCCGTTTTAGGCTGTCTACCTGAGAACCAAGTTCATTTAAAAAAAAGAAAAATCAAACCAGATGAAAAGTGGAACCAGTCAGCCTCACAATATCACGAAACAAATGACAGGTGAACGCTATGGCGAGAGCCTTTAGCAGCACGTAGCCATAAATCTACAGTACCACAGATAAGAACAAACGTACGCAGAATCACTTAACTGACGTATCTATGATAAAAATCACAATGCTGTCTGACCTAAAGACTCTAAAATAAATCAGCCTCGATGCAGATTTGAACCCCAGAGCTTCAGTCGGGTAGTGGGTAATCTAGCAGGTACTCTACCACAGCTGCCAGCCTAGAAATGAGTACTAGGAAATGGTCTGGAAAGGCAAGGCTTTCAGCATGATTCTCACTTGGTCCATCATCAAGTGCTGATCGATCTAAATGTTCATGGCAAGTACCATGTGCCACGTATCTATACTCAGTTTCTGTCCATGTACTTCGTATCTGTACAGTTTTTGTCCATGTACCCCATATGTGTACGTAGTTTTTGTCCATGTGCTCAGTATGTGTACCTACACGACGGCGGCTTCAGCGCTGTTTACAGACACAGATGATTTACTGGTTTGAAAATTTTTATTTGGCTGTATTTTCATCAACTAAACAGGAAGCAGGGTTTTCGTATGTGGAGCTGAATGCCTCAGACACTCGCAGCAAAAGAAGCCTGAAGGAGGTGGTCTCCGAGTCCCTGAACAACCAGACTCTGGTGGACTACATGGGAGACCACAAAGGTCCACCCTCAGGCCAGAAACACTGTCTTATCATGGACGAGGTGGACGGGATGGCTGGAAATGAAGACCGCGGTGGGCTGCAGGTAACTTCTGGTGTCCAGTTTATGTTTAACAGAGTTGTCCGGTTTATTTTTGTCCAGTTTGTGTTAGACGATGTTGTCTGCTTTATGTTTGACAGTGTTGTCTGCTTTATGTTTGGAAGGGTTGTCCACTTTATGTTTGACAGTTTTGTCCAGGTTATGTTTGACAGTGTTGTCCACTTTATGTTTGGAAGTGTTGTCCACTTTATGTTTGGAAGTGTTGCCCTCTTTATTTTTGACAGTGTTGTCCAGGTTACGTTTGACAGTGTTGTCCACTTTATGTTTGACGGTGTTGTCCAGGTTATGTTTGAGAGTGTTGTCCAGTTTATGTTTGACAGACCAGCTTCTGTATCTCTGGTGTAGAAAGAAAGAGAAAAATCTGTCTCATACAGACTTCTTTATCTCTGTCTCAGCTATGTATATTTGTCTCAAAGAGAGTAAAAGGTCTCTGTGACTCGGACAGACTTCTGTGTTTCAGACAGACAAAAGAAAGAGAAATGTCTTTAATATTCTACAGCTGTAATGTACAGCAACAGCAGTGTTAGAAAAAGTAATGTTCTACAATTGTAACATTCTACAACAGCAGTGTTATAAAAAATGTAATGCTATAAAAACAAATATTCTGCAACTGCAGTGTATTAAAAACGAATGTGATAAAAACAGATTTTCTACAACTGTAATGTTATAAAAACTTTTTCTGCAACTGTATTGTTCTTCAACTGTATTGTTCTACAACTGTAATGTTCTTCAGTGTAATGTTGCAATCTTCATGTCCAGGAACTTGTTCAGCTGATCAAGACAACAAAAATCCCCATCGTCTGCATCTGTAACGATCGCAACTCCATGAAGATGCGAACCTTGTCCAACTATTGCTTGGACTTGAGATTCCAGCGACCCCGTGTGGAGCAAATCAAGGGAGCCATGATGTCCATTGCCTTCAGGGAGGGAATCAAGATACCGCCAGCAGCTTTGAATGAGATCATTGCAGCATCAAACCATGACATCAGACAGGTAGGCCATCAAACCATGACATCAGACAGGTAGGCCATCAAACCATGACATCGGACAGGTAGGCCATCAAACTATGACCTCAAACAGGTAGGTCATCAAACCATGACATCGGACAGGTAGGCCATCAAACCATGACGTCAGATAGGTAAGTCATCAAACCATGACATCGAACAGATAGGCCATCAAACCATGACATCAGACAGGTAGGCCATCAAACCATGACATCAAGCAGGTAGGCCATCAAACCATGACATCAAACAGGTAGGCCATCAAACCATGACATCAGACAGGTAGGCCATCAAACCATGACCTCAAACAGGTAGGTCATCAAACCATGACATCAGACAGCTCGACCATCTAACCATGACATCAGACAGCTCGACCATCAAATCATGACCTCGAACAGGTAGGCCATCAAACCATGACCTCAAACAGGTAGGCCATGACATCAGACAGGTAGGACATCAAACAGGTAGGCCATCAAACCATGACCTCAAACAGGTAGGCCATCAAACAATGACCTCAAACAGGTAGGCCATCAAACCATCACATGAGACAGGTAGGCCATCAAACCATGACCTCAAACAGGTAGGCTATCAAACCATAACCTCAAACAGGTAGGCCATCAAACCATCACATGAGACAGGTAGGCCATCAAATCATGACCTCAAACAGGTAGGCTATCAAACCATGACCTCAAACAGGTAGGCCATCAAACCATGACATCAGACAGGTAGGCCATCAAACCATGACATCAGACAGGTAGGCCATCAAACCATGACATCAGACAGGTAGGCCATCAAACCATGACATCAGACAGGTAGGCCATCAAACCATGACCTCAAACAGGTAGGCCATCAAACCATGACATCGGACAGGTAGGCCATCAAACCATGACATCGAACAGGTAGGCCATCAAACCATGACATCAGATAGGTAGGCCATCAAACCATGACCTCAAACAGGTAGGCCATCAAACCATGACATCAAACAGGTAGGCCATCAAACCATGACATCAAACAGGTAGGCCATCAAACCATGACCTCAAACAGGTAGGCCATCAAACCATGACCTCAGACAGGTAGGCCATCAAACCATGACCTCAAACAGGTAGGCCATCAAACCATCACATGAGACAGGTAGGCCATCAAATCATGACCTCAAACAGGTAGGCTATCAAACCATGACCTCAAACAGGTAGGCCATCAAACCATCACATGAGACAGGTAGGCCATCAAATCATGACCTCAAACAGGTAGGCTATCAAACCATGACCTCAAACAGGTAGGCCATCAAACCATGACATCAGACAGGTAGGCCATCAAACCATGACCTCAAACAGGTAAGCCATCAAACCATGACCTCAAACAGGTAGGCCATCAAACCATGACCTCAAACAGGTAGGTCATCAAACCATCACATGAGACAGGTAGGCCATCAAACCATGACCTCAAACAGGTAGGCCATCAAACCATCACATGAGACAGGTAGGCCATCAAACCATCACATGAGACAGGTAGGCCATCAAACCATCACATGAGACAGGTAGGCCATCAAACCATCACATGAGACAGGTAGGCCATCAAACCATCACATGAGACAGGTAGGCTATCAAACCATGACCTCAAACAGGTAGGCCATCAAACCATGACCTCAAACAGGTAAGCCATCAAACCATGACCTCAAACAGGTAGGTCATCAAACCATCAAAAGAGACAGGTAGGCCATCAAACCATGACCTCAAACAGGTAGGCCATCAAACCATCACATGAGACAGGTAGGCCATCAAACCATCACATGAGACAGGTAGGCCATCAAACCATCACATGAGACAGGTAGGCCATCAAACCATCACATGAGACAGGTAGGCCATCAAACCATGACCTCAAACAGGTATGCCTTCAAACCATGACCTCAAACAGGTAGGCCATCAAACCATGACCTCAAACAGGTAGGCCATCAAACCATCACATGAGACAGGTAGGCCATCAAACCATGACATCAGACAGGTAGGCCATTAAACCATGACATCAGACAGGTAGGCTATCAAACCATCACATGAGACATGTATGCCATCAAACCATGACATCAGACAGGTAGGCCATCAAACCATCACATGAGACTGGTAGGCCATCAAACCATGACATCAGACAGGTAGGCCATCAAACCATGACCTCAAACAGGTAGGCCATCAAACCATGACCTCAAACAGGTAAGCCATCAAACCATGACCTCAAACAGGTAGGTCATCAAACCATCAAAAGAGACAGGTAGGCCATCAAACCATGACCTCAAACAGGTAGGCCATCAAACCATCACATGAGACAGGTAGGCCATCAAACCATCACATGAGACAGGTAGGCCATCAAACCATCACATGAGACAGGTAGGCCATCAAACCATCACATGAGACAGGTAGGCCATCAAACCATGACCTCAAACAGGTATGCCTTCAAACCATGACCTCAAACAGGTAGGCCATCAAACCATGACCTCAAACAGGTAGGCCATCAAACCATCACATGAGACAGGTAGGCCATCAAACCATGACATCAGACAGGTAGGCCATTAAACCATGACATCAGACAGGTAGGCTATCAAACCATCACATGAGACATGTATGCCATCAAACCATGACATCAGACAGGTAGGCCATCAAACCATCACATGAGACTGGTAGGCCATCAAACCATGACATCAGACAGGTAGGCCATCAAACCATGACATCAGACAGGTAGGCTATCAAACCATCACATGAGACAGGTAGGCCATCAAACCATGACATCAGACAGGTAAGGCATCAGGTCCTTTTTTTTAAATTCACCCCATCTTGGGGACTTCGAGATTTCGTTGAGAGTTCCCGGGAAAGTCCAATAATATAGGGGTGTTATGGTGGGAAATGAACATGACTAAGACTAAACCTAACCCTGACACACACATGCACGCACACACACAATTCTCCCACACAACCCCCAATAATATTGAACTTTCCTTGGAACTCCCTACAAAATCACGGAGTCCCAGAGAGGGGTGAACAGAAAGAAAAGTACCGGACATCGTATTATCCAAACATGACAGACAGGCAGGGCAGAGTTGTTCATGTGGGAGCTGGAAATAAAGAGCTGGTGTTTGTGTTTAAACAAGTTGCATTTCTTCAGGATATTGCGGACAAACCCAGCATTTAGGGCAGTTGTCTGAGTTTTACTTTTACAAGAGCTTGCCCAAAGATTATGAAGGATTGGGGTGGAAGGTGGTATTAACTTACTGACCAGACAAACTGATACATTAATTGTCAGGAGAGGGGATAAACTGCTGTTGTGTATGAGGATAAGTAGTTTTTCGTTTTTTGAAAAAGGGGAGGGGGGGGGGGTGAACAGTAGTTTTTGTTTGTTATGTGTATACATAATTTGCTTGTGATAAATGTGACAGCGGTGGTAAACAGAAGTTGTTTCTGAGGAAAAGCTGCTGTAGTTTTTTTTTTGTAGGATGGGGGAGAGGGGGATAAACAGTGGTTACTTATGTTGGGTTCAGTTGCTTTTAGTGAAAGCCATAAACAGTAACTGTTTGTGATAAGAAATAAACAGCATCTGTTTAAGTCGGTTTATTCAATTCCTTTCAGATTATTCACAACCTCTCTATGTGGAGCGCAGGATGCAAGAGCTTGACATTTGAACAGGTCACAAAAGATGCACAGAAGGCTCAGAAGGATGTTAAATTGGTTTGTGCTTTTTTTCAGCTGCTGTAATTTAGTGGGTGGGTTATTATTGCATGCTTTTGAGAGGGGGAGGGAGGAGAGAGAGAGATGAAGGTTAGTTGCGTTTCCTTTACAGGACGTTGCAGAACCAACCCCAACAGCCCCTGGCTGTTGTGTGGTTTTTCTAGGCAAATTTATGTCCAGTAGTTTGCCATTGCTTTCTGGACGGTCGGCTTTCTTGATACCACTGTCGAAACCAACGCAAGGGATCGAACCCTCCTGGCATTACGAAGCATTCGCATCGACTTAGCCACAGAGCGGACGAGAGAGATGAAGGTAGAGAAGAAATTGAGGGATGAAGGGGGAGGAGAGAGTGTTTAAATGTATTGCATATAAAGGAGTAACTGAACCTTATAGTTGCTTAGGATAGAAGCACTTTCTCCTTCTCTCCTCATTCCTTCTTCTTCCTCATTCATCTTCTCCTTTAGTTTCCCAGTATATTTTGTTTTAAGGATATCTTCCAGTGAAGCATAGCTCTCAAAATCTCATCAAGCCTTGAGCAGACCTTTTCAAGCATGGCAGGATTTTACACTTAAAAGTTTTCTCATGATTTTACACTTAAAAGTTTTCTCAGGATTTTACACTTAGAAGTTTTCTCAGGATTTTAAACTTAAAAGTTTTCTCAGGATTTTACACTTGAAAGTTTTCTCAAGATTTTACACTTAAAAGTTTTCTCGGCAAAGAAGTAGCCGATGTCTTCTTCACTTTCACTGGCTGTAAACTTTATTTGTCTTATGGTATGGGTTAACTGTGTTTAGGTAGTTGTTTGTTGGGCTGTGTCAGAGGCTTTTCTTCTCTTCTTGGTGCTCAATGGTTGTAAACTCCGGTGGAAAGCTGTGGGTGTTTGTCCACTTGTGGACTTGAGTCTTGTTGCAGAACTGGAGTGTTGCATGCACATCTGTTTTACAGATCTGGCTTATTTGTGTTGGTTCCTGGCCTTTCAGGCAGATGGACCCTGACTTTTACGACATGCACATGCTAGTTGGGGGCAGTGGGTCTGTTCCTCTTGTTTCCTCCAGAGTGGGACCCATGAACCCACATGGGTTGGGGGGAGGAGAGGGGGGGCAGCTAATATTATTGCCACCTTCTTTGGTCACTTTTAGTTAGGAAATGAGTTTGTTTGAGAAAGGCTTTTTACAAACTGGAAGAGATCTTGTGAGAAATGAAGAAATTATAAGAACTATTAGAACAACACTTGTGATTATAGTCATTAAAAAACAAAGACTGAAAATGGTTTAGTCATTTAATGAGAATGAATCCAGCAACGAGAGAGTACAACATAAAAGTAGAAACGCCAGGTAATTGCGGATGATCAAGAAAAATATGAATTGAGGGTGTCACTGATATCTTGAGACTCCACATCACAACATCCCGGGCAACCAAGCGTGCCCTGACTCAAATATCGATCCTAGTGGCACAAAGCAGATTATGGACAAAATAAGAAAGACATTGTTTTGGTTCTTTTTTTTTCTTTTTATGCTTCAGTAAGATATGGTTACATATGATCTCTTTCAGGGCCCCTTTGACGTCTGCCGTAAAGTGTTTGTTAATGATGAAGAGACGAGGAAGATGAGCCTCAACGACAAATCAGATTTGTTCTTCCATGACTACAGTTTTGGACCTTTGTTTGTCCACGAGAATTACCCCCACGTCATCCCAAATCGGGCACAGTATGTGGTACTTCTTTGGTGTTATTTTTGTTGTTTTTTTTGTTATTGCTGTTGTTGGTACTCAAGGAATTGAAGCCGCACTGAGTGCTTAATAATTTGATGTCAGTCTCCTTCTGCAATTGATAGAAGTTTACATATGGCAGTCATAAAAGTCTGTAAAAAGTATTAATAAATGGTTTGTTCATCCTCATCGCCGCACATCAGCCATGTTCATGAGCACTTGAATCCCATCTTCCGTATCTCGGTGTGAGAGGACTGATAATGCCAGTTTGGTGTTGATTTACTATTCTTCTTTGGCTGTATATTGTCCATGTCTGGCAGTACCACTTTTGACTTTGGCCAGGGGCCGCAATATAAACAGGCCATAAATATGGCCAATTGTCTGAACGCGGTATTTGGGACCTCTCCACGGCGATCCTCATCCACATGGTGGCACTTGGTGTCATCGGGTGTTTATCGCTTGTGTGATGTCCTAGTGGGATAGAAAGTCAGTCAGTACCACTTTTGACCTGAAGCTCTTGTAGTCTTGTCACTGTTGCTGATTTGGCTTTGTCTCCTGAATCATCTACTTGTGTCCTGCCTCCTTGAGAGCATTGAGAACATCAGCCCGGCTCACTTCTTTACCTGTACCTACTGTGACCCTCCACATCTCAGTGTATTTTCTCAAATCTGTGAATGTTTTCTCACATCTGTTTGCATATTTTTTTTTCACATCTTGTGCGTATTTTCTCACATCTTTGTGTCTTTTCCAACACGTGTAGACATTTTCTCACATCTGTTTGCATATTTTTTTCACATCTGGTGCGTATTTTCTCACATCTTTGTGTCTTTTCCAACACATGTAGACATTTTCTCACATCTGTGTAAACTTTCCCAACACATGTAGACATTTTCTCACATCTGTGTAAACTTTTCCAACACATGTAGACATTTTCTCACATCTGTGTAAACTTTCCCAACACATGTAGACATTTTCTCACATCTGTGTAAACTTTCCCAACACATGTAGACATTTTCTCACATCTGTGTAAACTTTCCCAACACATGTAGACATTTTCTCACATCTGTGTAAACTTTCCCAACACATGTAGACATTTTCTCACATCTGTGTAAACTGTCTCAAGTATTCATGTAGTTCTCACATCTATGTGAATTGTCTTAAGATTAATGACAGATAATTTTCTGAATGACCCTGTTCTAATTGGACACAAACTCATTCTTTTGTCCCAGGGGAAAGCAGACTCGTCACATGCAGTGCCTGTCACAGACGATAGATAGCATCTGTGACGGAGATTTGGTGGACAAAATCATTCGGAAGGATGGCCACTGGAGCTTGTTGCCCACTCAGGTTTGTGAATATATTTTTTCTTGTGCCACGTTGGCCGTGGGCATTAAGTTAATGTCAAGGACCTTGTATCTATTCTACTTAACTACAGCTCGTTGTTCGGCCCTTTGACAGACACATTATACCAGAACACACCTAAAACACACACCTGTTGAGCACACACATCTTTAATGAACAAAGAACAACACAACCTAAAGCAACCTCCACAGTTATGGACAGTCCCTTATCCAAAACTCCCGCAGTGGCAGCATTTATATTAACTTATCCACCCCGAGCCATTCCCATTTAGTTTTTTGTTTGTTTTGTTTGGGGTCGGGAACTTAACAAACTCTGAAGTTTAATTATCCATGTGGGTTTTGGGACTCCATTTTGAAAGGGGGGGGGGGGGGGGAGAATAGACCCACTGTACCAGAGGACACGATTCCACCTCCTGTAGTGCAGCGCTAACTAGACTACGATCTTCGCCATGCGAGACTCAGTGGCGCACGCAGGGTGAGTGGTTCAAGTAATAGCGGCCAGTGTCAACGCCAGCACAAAACGCAGCTAAACTCTGATAACTCTAATACCCCATAGACAAGAACACCTACCTAAACATGATACAACACAACTGTCTTAGAATACTATAAGCACACGAGGAATACCAACAGCTAACCAACACATATAACGACAAAGCTAACAGTCCCTATCTTTTAACTCCTAACACAATACAACCTATCACGTCTCTATATGTCTTCAGCCTCACACGTCCATCTCCAACCGCTCTTCTTCCCCCGTTCAGTTTCGGGTTAAACATGTACATGGCACCAGCGTTCAAGCCTTCTCGAGTTTTCCCCATGTCGTCAATTCAGCTGGCTGACCGCTGGTGCACCTTTTGGTCTGTCAAACACAAACATGAAGTTACAAGTCGTATCGTGTTTACTCTGTGCCACAGGGCTATGACAGTTAAGCTACTCAAATTTAAGGTTTTTTTAAATTTAGTTTTTTGTTTGTTTTGTTTGGGGTCGGGAACTTAACAAACTCTGAAGTTTAATTATCCATGTGGGTTTTGGGACTCCATTTTGAAAGGGGGGGGGGAGAATAGACCCACTGTCCCCTAACAGCTGGCCATAAAAGGAGACTAATTATGGTTTTGTGGATATTCGAGGTGTTCCTATGGGCAAAGGCAGAAGAAATTAAATGAGATAAAGAGTGGGGCTACTTAAGTCTAAATGTTTCAACTCTGGGGTCAATCTCTGTTACTAAAGTTAGTCCAGTAAGTCGACTGATCATCCTTGCTGGTCATCTGACAAGTCCTGGTTGGTAAGTCTACTGTTCATCCTCGCTGGTCATCTGACAAGTCCTTGTCATTAAGTCAACTGGCCATCTTCGCTGGTCATCTAGGCTGCCATGCTAAATGTAGAACACAGGGCTAATAAACTCAGCGGCCAAAATGTTAAACTTTGGGATCGTCACAGGCCACAGTCCTGAACCCCTGCATAGAAAGATCATCATTACATTGGCAGTAATTCAGAGGCCACTTCCTGGGCATCTGGGCTGGAATTGGAACAGGGTCCACCATTTGAATAGTTCCGGGATGATGGTGATGATGATGTATGTTATTGTATGTGTACTATAGCATTGAGTCTGTTGTTCCCCTACAGGCCATGTACTCCAGCGTTATCCCAGGAGAGATCATGCGAGGCAGCTTCCCACACATGGCCGAGTTCCCTCAGTGGCTGGGCAAGTTCTCCTCCACCAACAAGACGCACAGGATCTTGCAGGAGCTGGGAACGCACATGAGGCTGCAGTAAGTTCAGATCCAGTCTTCTCAATGTAGTCCATACCCTTCGGCGTTGGTAGTCATGACTATCCACAACCTTCTGTCTCATGCACTTTCAGTCACTTCTGACATGGATGTTCTTCCATTCCATGATGTCAGCATCTTCTCTCTCGGTCTCCCTCTGCCTCTTTTCCCCTCCATCTTTTCCATCGTCATGATGTACTCCAGTTTTCTCCTTCTCATGACATGACCAAACAATGGATTGTCATTAAAAACAAATGTAACACCCCTACACCAGTGCTTTCAGGCTATGTGTTGTGACACATTCGTGTGTAAGCTGCGGTGTCAAGGTGCATATCTCTACACTTGAGATTGGAAGAGGAAAGCCTGTTACTGTATCTGTTCTGTTATCATGTCGTGCTGAAGGAAGCTGATCAAACATTAAATCAGATGGATCCAAGAAGAAAGATGCAGAAATAAAAGAAATTTAAATAATGCGGACAAAAACAATACATTGCACAGTTTGTTGCCAGGCATATTTCACCAGGTGCATTACTACAGAGTTATATCAACATATAATGAAGCACAAAAACTGAATAAATCTAACTGAAGTACAGTTGCTTTCTCTCAAAGTTGGAAGTTCACAGACTGGGGTAACTTCAAATGTACTACAAATTCCTTCTGCTTACAAAGGAGGAGGTTGTTGATTTTAATTGTTAAAGCTTCGACCAGTCTCAGCAGTCGCCTGTTCGGTGTGTTGGAAATCATACAGAAAGCACTGTCCTTGTCAGTTACATGATGGGAATCAACAATTGATGTCCTGTAGATGAGGTGGGTTCTTTCCTCTTGATTGGTCTCGACACTTTTGTGAGTGTCAGACAATAACTGGTATCAACATTTATAAGACAAAGAAGATGGCCGTATATTGGGCACATCATAAGGAGAAATGGACAGAGAATTGCCAGTCAGGCACTGAAATGAGAAATAAATGAATTGAGAAAATTAGGACGTCCAAAGGAAGCCCTGAGGTGAACGTAAACAGGAACCTAAAGTTTCTCTACACTGCATTGAAGAAACAACAAGACTACAAGGTATTTCTACACTTTAGGATAGACGGACAAGGCTAAACATGATTGTAAGACTGGGTTTTCTAACTGGTGGCCCACAGGGTAAAACTGGCCCACAGAGGCCTAGCATGTGGCTTACGGATTATTGCCAGTTGTATTGTATTAGTTATCTATCTGTGGTAGAGCTTGGGCCCTAGCCTGTGACGATCCCCATTTTCAACATTTTGGACGCCAAGTAAACTTAGTTGAATAGCCCTGGTGTAAGGTATCTAACATCTCAGGGTAGAAGAGAACAGACTAATTTATTACTGTGAAGCACCACTACACAAGGGAGTCGCCATGGCGTAGAGGCTAGGCGCTCACGTGCGGATCGGAAGGTCATGGATTCTCTTCCTGGCAGAGCCGGACTTTTTAAAAAAAAAAAATGACCTTGACTCCCAGGTTGACCCAGTCTTGAGTGGGTACTGGATGCAGTCCCAGGAAGGAAAGGCAGCCGGCGTGATGCTGACCACATCCCCCATCTTGTGTCAGTTGGTCTATAAAAATATAGGTCTAGCCCTATATGCCCTCTACGCCTGAAGGGGTGGAAAAGGGACCTTTCCTTTTTTTTTTTACCACTACACACTTTAGTTTAAGAAAAAAGATTAAATGACTTCCAGTTACCTCTGCACACCAGAATAACAGAGAAAAGATATATAAATGAGCAGATGTATACAGATAGTTAAGCTGAATGTTTGTGTTTTTTCTTTAGCTTGTACTAATTTCATTTTTCTTTGGTTTTGTTTGTTTGTTTGTCTGTTATAGTTTTTGCGTACAGTTATTATACTTTTTTCAAATTGATTTGAATTATTTCAGAATCTCGAGTGATAAACGGGGTCTGGCCCTGGACTACCTTCCAGCCCTGCGATCTTGTTTGACCTTGCCTTTGATCACCAAGGGTGCCGATGGGGTCCCAGAGGTCATTGAGATCATGGATACTTATGACATCATCAAGGAGGACTTTGACAACATCTTAGAGGTGACCAAGTATCCAAATAGTGTGGACCCCATGTCTAAACTTGACACAAAGGTAAGTTGTAGAACAGCTGAAGTAAAAAAAAAAGTAAAGATCCCTTTTCACGCCTTTGGCGCATCGGGCATATGGGAAGAGCACCCATATTTTTACAGACCAATTGGCACTAGGTGGGTAATGTGGTCAGCATTACGTCGGCCGTCTTTACTTCCCCAGGACATACATCCTGGTACCCATTTTATGCTGGGTCGACCTACGACGCCCCATACCATGATTAAAATCCACGCAGCCAGCAGTGGGTTTTGATCGCGGTATGTTGGAATTATGAGTCGGACTCGCAATGGGTATATGGTGCTAAATCTAGATGGCACTTGGTGGATGATCATCATCCTGCTGGCATTGTATGCAAAAACAGTTAGTATATGTTCTAACATTGCAATACAGGGTCATTCTGGAATCTCCAGTATGTTCTTACACTAAATGCTGGATGCTACATAAAATACAATTCAGTCAGGAAGCTTAGCAGTGAGTGTGGGTGGGAGCAGGGGTGGATAAGGTGCACACAAACACAATCAAACATTTTGGCCAAAATCTTTATCAATGGAGTACTAAATACAGCAGTCACTCCCTATTGACATCATCACTTCAGATGTTTTAACACTGTATGAAAAACAGAGTGATATATATTTGAACTGTCCACTCACAAAAACTGCATTTTCTGCTTGTATTTACCACTTTTCCGCTGTAGGTGAGGATGTAGTAAGCCGGAGGTTTTGGGGTCACATGGCTAGTGCAGTCGCCAAGGACTGTGCAGGTTAGGTTTGTGTGCATGCATACGTGTTTTTTTTTTGTGTGTTGGTGTGAAATTTAAAATCTGTATGTGTTCACACATCGTATGTTTTCAGACGAAAGCGGCATTTACCAGACAGTATAACAAGGAGAGTCACATGACCCCGTATGCCACAGGGGTGCTCAGCAAGAAGAGAAGAGGAAAGGCAGCACCGATGGATGAGAGTGACCTGCCCCTAGAGGAGGGTGAGGAAAGCGTGGCTGCTGGTGGGGACAGCGAAGGAGAGGAAGAAAGCATTGAGGCAGATACCATGATTAAGGTAAGACTTTCTTCTCAAGTACGAACAAACAGCATTCTTTTTCTCTACAAAAAAGCCACTTCTTGTGAACTATCTCCTGATATAGATTCCTAGAAGGCACCACTTTTAGGGAAAATATAGCATAGACCCACTGCCTCCTGACAGGCATGTTTTTAAAGTTGTCTCACTGAGGATTTGCCAGTGGTGGCGAAGAGATTGCACAGGAGATAATAGAATGGAGGAATCGGCAGCCAACCCTGTGGGACACATATATGGCACAACAGGACAAGGATAATGAATTCAGGATTTGCTGAAATTGAATGTGTTGGGCTAAATGGGGCCTCTCTCTGTGTCTCTCTCTGTCTCTCTCACTGTCTGTCTCTCTCACTGTCTCTGTCTCTCTCTCTCTGTCCCTCTCTCTCTCTGTCTGTCTGTCTCTGTCTCTTTCTATTTCTCTGTCTCTCTCTCTGTTTCTGTCTCTGTCTCTCTCTCTGTGTCTTGTCTCTCTCTGTCTCTCTCTGTCTCTGTCTCTCTCTCTGTCCTTGTCTGTCTCTGTCCCTGTCTCTCTGTGTCTCTGCTCTCTCTCTCTCTTCTCTGTCCCTGTCTCTCTGTGTCTCTGCCTCTCTCTCTCTGTCCCTGTGTCTCTCTCTGTCTCTGCCTCTCTCTGTCTCTGCCTCTCTCTGTCCCTGTCTCTCTCTGTCTCTGCCTCTCTCTCTCTCTGTCCCTGTCTCTCTCCCTGTCTCTCTCTGTCTCTCTCTCTGTCTCTCTCTCTCTGTCTCTCTCTGTATGTCTCTCTCTGTCTGTCTCTCTGTCTCTCTCTGTATGTCTCTCTCTGTCTGTCTGTCTGTCTGTCTTCTGTCTCTCTCTCTCTCTCTCTCTCTCTCTCTCTCTCTCTCTCTCTCTCTCTCTCTCTCTCTCTCTCTGTGTGTGTGTGTGTGTCTCTCTCTCTCTGTTTTGGAATATTTATAACAGGGAAACACATATTTTTAAATAACCTGCAGGCTGAATTGTTGTAATCTTATGTTATTGTTTAGAGTAGGATAGCACCATCTTGAAACATTGCCACTCTCATTTTAAAAAATCATACTGGAGGGAGGAGACGTTGAGGGCAAGAGATCAAGAGTTAGACAAGGTATAAGTGGGAAGACAACTTCAAAAGGTGGATGAACAGCAGTCGGAGAGTGTACAACCACCACGAGAGACAGAATGTTAGAGATCCATTGTGGCAGACGTGTCACAATAAGAAGGGTTCACAGATCTCAGCTAATTGAGAACTGTTGGTCGTCTTCTGTTCTTCTCCTGTTCTGCCTTTCAGCATCAGGTTTTGAAGAGGGTGCCAGCCTTGGTGTGTGCTACATCGGTAGATGCTGGTGTGTAAATTCCATCTGTCTAATCTCCATCGCTTGCGTGGTCAACCTGTGGCTCTGCTTCCATTCTGTCTTCATTGACAGGGGTCTCTGTGGTGCAGCCTCTGGTGGTTGTCTTGACATGTCTTGCTAACTGTTGTACCCGTATGGGTCCCAGGGCCCCGTTGTATGGAAAACAAGAATAGATCCACTGCCTTCCCAAAAGCATGTTGTAAGAGTGGACTAATTGGGAGCTTCCTTTAAAGTCAGAGTATGTCTGCTTGAGAAGCAAGGAACCAACAGTCTGCATACAAATGAATCAGATTTGTAAAACAGATGTGCACACAACACAGGTTCTGTAACAGGACTAGTGTCCAGAAGTGGACCAACCTACAGAAGTTTCTGCCAGAGTTTACAGCTGGTGAACAAGAAGAAGAGGCAGATCACTGTTGTACAACTTGTGTGTTTATGCGTGCATGCGCATGCGCGCACTTATGAAATCAACAGATAAAGTGACTTTTTCATTTTGACAGGCAAAAAAGCCACCAGCATCAGGTAAAAACAAAGGTGGATCGCAGCAGCCAGGCACCAGCAGAAGCAAGGGGAAGGCGGGAAAAGCAGGCGGTAAAGGGAAGAAATGAAACATTAGAATTGATTGTTCTATGAAACAGATGCTCATTTCTTGTGTTTTGTTTATATTAAAAAACTTTTACCTGCTTGTTTGTGTGTGTTTTTAAATTTTATATATATATATATATATATAGTGCAGTCGGCTCTGTGGCTAAGTCAATGCGAACGCTTTGTAATGCCGGGATGTCGGGTTCGATCCCAGCTGCAGGCCATGTGCCTTGCGTTGGTTTCCACAGTGGTATCAAGAAAGCCGACCGTCCAGAAAGCAGTGGCAAACTACTGGATGTAAATTGTCTAGAGAAACCACACAACAGCCAGTGGCTGTTAGGGTTGGTTCTGCAGGTCCTGTAAAGGACACGCAACTAACCATGAATATAGTGCAGCGGGTGGCCTGTAGGTGATTGAAAGCGTTTATAAAAAACCTCCAAAAGTAGAAGATCCTTTCCACACCTTCAAGTTTATTGGGCTAGATCTTTGATTTCTAAACCAGTTGGCATTTGGTATGTGATGTAGACATCACGCCGGTCGCCTTTACTTTCTAGGACATTACCTAGACCCATTTGAGGGTGGGTTGACATGAGAGCCAAGGTCATTTTTGACACAACTGATGAGGAAGTTAGCTAGAACAGACTGGGGGGCAAACCTCAATGTCCTTAGGAGGACCTATACAGGCTATGTGAGGCCAACAGTAGAATATGGAATAGCTGCTTGGGGCACAGCAGCTAAATCAAATTTTCAGAAAGTCTCAAAGATCCAAAACCATGCTCTCCGTATTATGACAGGGGCAATGCGCTCCACGCCCATATCAGATATGGAAGCAATTACTGGTCTCCATAATCTGGAAGATAGGAGAGACACAAAGATCCTCACCCAGCTCTCCAAATACCACCACTTTCAAGAACAACCCATGTACAGCCGACTGCAGAAACCCCAGAAGGCTAGAACTAAAGAGAACTTGCTTTATTAGAACGCAAATGCCAAGCTCGCTGTCCTTAAACTCCCTCCCATAATACCAAATGTTCCACTTAAACCTTACAACGACTGCCCCGCTTGGCTTAGGGATAGCCTACCAACAGTCAGAACCACTGTAACAGGGGTCTCCTCCAAATCATCAATGAGCAGCACTGATATGAAATCAACTACAGAAGGAGAGATCAATAGACTTTACCCACACCAGAGTTGGATTCGAGTGTATACAGATGGTTCAGCCAAGAGAGCAGTAAGAGACGGAGGAGGAGGAATATACATAGAATGCCAAATGGTTTAAAAATCAACCAGGCTGTACAAACAGGTTCATATTCCTCCAATTACAGAGCAGAGTCAGAAGCACTTCTAGCGGCATGTTCTTTCCTGAATGGACAACAGCACAGCAAATATAGCAGAGTGGTCTTTCTGACTGATGCTATGTCAGTTCTACAAGTAATTGTTAACCCAAAAGACACACAGTTTGTAGACTTGACGCAACAGCTGATTTACTTAACTTAGGCTCTTCAATAGAACAATCTGTACTGCAGTGGATTCCAGGTCACTGTGGCTTGGAAGGCAATGAAATAGCGGACAGATTGGCCAGAAGCGGCAGTGACATGGTACAACCAAATAGCGACTTAACCCACCAAGAGATGAAAACACTAATACAATCTAGTATCCAAGAAAGGTGGCTGGATACCCACACCAGATTTTTTCCCCAAGACTCACTTCATCGCCTCTCTAGAGAGGGACAGCCTATTATATTCAGACTAAGGACAGGGCACAACAGATTTCGTCAACATATGTTCAAATTTTTCAGTGTAGGAAATACGGAGACGTGTCCCTGCAGCGTGGCACCCGAAAATGCTGAGCATGTGCTTCAACACTGTCAACTGTATGCTGACAACAGAGACGCAATCTGGCCTGTTCCAACCACAATGAAGACAAAACTGTATGGTACACAAGAGGATATGGATTGCACGATAGCTTTCATAAAGGCTACCGGCCTCCTGATATAAGTTTTCTGACAGAAGGATCGAAGAAGAAGAAGACAGAAAAAACAAGTCTGGCACTATCAGGACCTGAACTCGCCACCTTCGGATCTGCAGGCAGGCACCTAGCCGTTCCTGCAAAGAGGGGTTAAAAATGACTGACCATTCTTACAGCTTTCAAAAAGTATGAAGAGATTCAAAAAGTATGAAGAGATTCAAAAAGTATGAAGAGACTGAGTTGTTTCATTCTACACTTAGCCAGGGATACATTGTAGCCGAGCTCCCTTGTTGAGATAGCAGTTTGTGTGCGTGCACACATGCATTTGATGTGGGTGGATGGACATGTATGGTTTCATATCTTTCTCATGTGCGTTCTGTGGCCTCATTGTGAGGAAAATGAGAATAGACCCACTGCTTTCCTAACCAGTATGTCGTAAGAGTCAACTAATTGGAAACTTCCTTTGAAGTTGAGGGAAGTTGAAGTTCAATCTGTAAAACAGATATGAATGCAACATTCTGGTTTAGGAATAAGACCAGAGTCCAGGAGTAGACGAACAACCAGAACTTTCTGCCAGAGTTTATATTCTCAAGAAATTTGTTATCAGATAAAATGCCTTCCAACCTGAACAGACTTATGTAGGTTCTTTAGAACTGTCCACAGTACAGAAAGGTAAGAAAGATATTGTGACCCAATGAGTCGCCATTAAACTCTAAGATGTGTGGAACTAAAGAAGTGAAGTATGTTGGGTGTGCCTGATGATGTAGGCAATTAAGGCAGGATCCCAAGAAGAATGAATTTTATTATCAAAGGGTCACAATTTTTAAATTGTCTGATTTAAGAATTGATATCGTAAAACACCAGGCATACCCAGAGATGCTCCGTCTCCTGCAGCTGTCTTCAGGTGTAGATACTTTTCCAGTATCTGCCAGAGGTCGACCACACAAGCAATGGATGAAATATCCCAGGCTGTAAATTCTAGCATCTACGTAGCACATACCAAGGTTTGGATCTGATGTCCTCTAAAACATTACGCTGAAAGGCAGAACAGGACTTGAGAAGGATAAGATCTACTTCCAGAACAGGACTGGAGAAGAATAGGAAGAACTGTTCTAGAACAGGAGTAGAGAAGAATAAGAAGAACTGTTCTAGAACAGGAGTAGAGAAGAATAGAAAGAACTGTTCTAGAACACGAGTAGAGAAGAATATGAAGAACTGTTCTAGAACAGGAGTAGAGAAGGATAAGAAGAACTGTTCTAGAACACGAGTAAAGAAGAACTGTTCTAGAACAGGAGTAGAGAAGAATAGCTGTTCTAGAGCAGGACTTGAGATGAATAAGAAGAAATGCTCTAGAACAGGAGTAGAGAAGAATAAGAAGAACTGTTCTAGAACAGGAGTAGAGAAGAATAAGAAGAACTGTTCTAGAACAGGACTTGAGAAGGATAAGAAGAACTGTTCTAGAAAAGGACTGGAGAAGAATAAAAAGAAATGTTCTAGAACAGGACTGGGGAAGAAGAATAGGAAGAACTGTTCTAGAACAGGACTGGAGAAGAATAGGAAGAACTGTTCTAGAACAGGACTGGAGAAGAATAGGAAGAACTGTTCTAGAACAGGACTGGAGAAGAATAGGAAGAACTGTTCTAGAACAGGAGTAGAGAAGAATAAGAAGAAATGTTCTAGAACAGGACTAGAGAAGAAGAAATGTTCCAGAACAGTACTAGAGAAGAAGAATAGGAAGAGCTGTTCTAGAACAGGACTAGAGAAGAATAGGAAGAACTGTTCTAGAACAGGACTAGAGAAGAATAAGAAGAACTGTTCTAGAACAGGACTAGAGAAGAAGAATATAAAGAACTGTTCTAGAACAGGACTAGAGAAGAAGAATATAAAGAACTGTTCCAGAACAGGATTGTAGAAGAATAGGAAGAACTGTTCTAGAACAGGACTTGAGAAGAATAAGAAGAACTGTTCTAGAATAGGACTAGAGAAGAATAGGAAGAACTGTTCTAGAACAGGACTGGAGAAGAATAGGAAGAACTGTTCTAGAACAGGAGTAGAGAAGGAAAAGAAGAACTGTTATAGAACAGGAGTAGAGAAGGATAAGCACTGTTCTAGAACAGGACTGGAGAAGAATAAGAAGAACTGTTCTAGAACAGGACTGGATGAGAGAAAAAAGAACTGCTCTAGAACAGGACTGGAGAAGAATAAGAAGAAGAACTGTTCAAGAACAGGACTGCAGAAGAAGAATATGAAGAACTGTTCCAGAACCGGACTACAGAAGAAAAAAACAGAACAGGACTAGAGAAGAAGAAAAAAGAACAGGATTAGAGAAGAAGAAGAAGAACTGTTTCAGAAACGGACTACAGAAGAAGAAAAAAGAACTTAAAGAATAGGATTAGAGAAGAAGAACTGTTCCAGAACAGGACTAGAGAAGAAGAAAAAAGAACAGGATTAGAGAAGAAGAAAAAAATAACTTTAAGAACAGGATTAAAGAAGAAGTACAAGAACTGTTCCAGAACAGGACTAGAGAATATGAAGAACTGATTCCAGAACCGGAACTGTTACAGGACTAGAAAAGAAGAAGAGAAAAAGAACAGGATTTAGAACTATTCCAGAAGACTAAGAAGAAGAACAGTTCCAGAACAGAACTAGAGAAAAAGAACAGTTCCTGAACAGGATTAGAGGAGAAGAACAGTTCCAGAACAGGATTAGAGAAGAAGAACAGTTCCTAAACAGGACAAGAAGAAACAGAACAGTTCCAGGACAGGATTAGAGAAGAAGAACAGCTCCTAAACAGGACAAGAAGAAGAAGAACAGTTCCAGAACAGGATAAGAAAAAGAATTGTTCCAGAACATACAAGCAGAACTTTCTGCAGGAGTGTACAGCCTGTGAATGCAAAGAAGAACAACAATGAATAAAAATATATGTGAAATAATATTAAATGCATTACCAAACCATTTTTCACGCCTCTAGGCATATATATGTCGGCTCTGTGGCTAAGTAGATGCGAACGCTTTCCTAATGCCGGGTTCG